CTTAAGAGGGATAAAAGGAGGGAGAGCGTGCAAGATACGGGATACAGTGACAATGAAACCTAAGTCTACTGCTAAACAGAACTTTCGACAAACACGTGATGGACCCCCCCCCCCCCACACACACACACACACACACACACTCTCTATCAACTGATGTCATCATAGAGCTGCAAAAAACTCAGCAACCACTGAATAGAAAACACCCCCAGACGAGTCTGATTAAACACTAGATCTTCCTTCACAAAACCAAATATCAAGGTAGGTCTTAAAAGTAATTTACGTCTCAGCAAGGCAATCAAAGTGACATGTAAATTATACACCTCCGTATTTTCCATTATTATTGAAAAAGTCAAGGAATGTATGAAAAAGTCAGCATTTGTTGTAGACTTATCTTGATTATATAAGTGCAAAAATACAATAAATCCCGACGACAAATGATCTGACCCTCTCTTATCAACATTCTTGTTCCACTGCACTTTTCTGAGTAAGTGAGCAGTGGTAATGCCTTCAAAATGAAATCACATCTTTCCATATCTAACATCCCTATGCAGCCTTTTCCACCACATTCAAAGTACAGCAGAAGGGGTGTAAGAGCTGATCGATGTGTGTTTGTCTTATAACTGGGAAGGGGTACTGACTCTAAAATGCTAAGGCCCTAAAATGCTTTATTTTACAGGCTAACGCCCATAAATACTCATTAAACTGCCAGCATCAAATAAAGAATGGTACAAACCTGCCTGAAACAGTAGAGCAGAGTAATGCATGGCTTCATTATAATAATGTCACAGTGTTAGCAGCAGCATAAGGGACAGAGGGATCTCCACAGTCAAATCAGCAGCAACAAAACAAATCACCGATAATCACTTATGATAAGTCACAGGAGCGCAATAATCTTTTTGCGTTTCATTCATCTTTCATTCCTTTTGTCTATTGGGGGATTTCAATATTTGGTAAATTATAAAAAATAGGTTTTCATATATTATATTTTAGGTTTCTCTTTACAATTGGTCAGTTTGCATTGTCTGTCAGGGAAAATTATACTGAATATTAAATTAAGACCATGGAAATAAATAATTAATTGGGCCAGATCCAAATATATGGAATTGTGAAGTGCCATCCATCCATCCATCTATTGTCCAAACAGTTTTCCTGCGTATTATTTGCTTATCATTGTTAATAAATAAAAAACACAGAGAGGATACTGGAACAATAATCTGGCAATATATCATGGATAATGCTGTATGCTTAATAAGAAAACACAAATAAAACAGAAAGACAGAAGATAAAGCACTTATGATCTGCAAAAGGTTTACTGTATTACTTTTACTGTTTGAATAACAATAAATTTCCCTTAATAACAACCTGAGTTTTGACTAGCTTGTGGTCTAATTCATCATTCTCTAGCAGACACATAATCTACTTTTAGATTTGAAGATCAATAATGAATTGAATCACTACTGCATTTACTCATTATATACAAAGTGGTGCTGCATTCAACAAAATGGAGATAGCCGTCCAGCCGTCTACACTTTGGCGGTAACGTGTCAAGGGACCTTTTCTCCACGGATGGAGAAGATGAGGAGTTTAGAGGCAGGGATCGGCCTGATACACCCCCAGGCAGCAACAATCTCTGTGCCCATGTCTAATCCTTCAAAAATCCATCTTAAAAATCAGAGGAGTTTCAGTGCCTGGTCTGCAACAAAGGAATGGTGATAAAAAATTAAAAATTAGAACAAAAACAGCCTGGGTATCCTTACTCACATTCCATTAATACCCATTTTTGGAAGCTCACCTAGAACATTAGCTCAAAGCTTCCTCATAATCAAGGCGATTTGTAAATGAACATGATGTATCAGTCTGGTGATGGAGGACAAGCTTCCCAGGGTCATGCTCGGAGCAGTCTAGGCTATAGGAGCCACAATCAGAACAGATGTGCAGCACGCTGCATTTCCACATCTCTCATGGTCCCTAGAGGCCGCAGAGCCCATGTGACCACACCGTAAAGCTTGACCATGGACCCTGAATACCAATGAGCTGCTCCCCCCCACCCCTGTGACCCAGCCAACGCTTCTGTAAGGAGGGCATCAGTTCCTAGAGGGACTATTTAATCACCCAGAGCCGTCAGAGGCAGCAGCAGTGCAGCAGAAACGATCCCTCTTCATGCAGCTTGTGATCCATGGATGGCTGGACCAGGAACCTGCTGCTGGAGATGACCCTGAACCAGCCCGACACACTACATGTCGGGTCTGCCTTTATGAAGATGAAAGGCAACAAGTCGGGGGGAGACGCAGCGCAGATTATGCCTTGGACCCATCAAACCTTCTCTACATGATATAATTTAGCTAATCTGCCTGCTTACCGAATGTTTCCATTCAAATCGACTTAATGTATCATTTATACAGCCTGAATATTTACCGGAGCAATTGTGGTACCTTCTTACTATAAAGTACTTGAGCCTAAGTGCATCAGAGTATCAGAGGAGGTCTCTTGAGACTTTAAATAAGTAATATATATTCTTTAACTGCTAACATAATACATAAGATAAGGCAGCCTGACTGCACAATCACTGTGTAATGTAATGTATAAACAGTTACAACATAAATCACCTTAACACAAAACATAGAATGGTTTTAAAGAATAAATAATTAAATACTCAGGAATTTATGTGACTGCTTGGGCTGTGTGTTTCATATACAGTCAGTATGCCACATTTATATTATTTACTTATTTTAGATTTAGTATTGCATAAGTAACAGTTTAGCAGGGTGCCAGTTACTAAAGACCTCATTGGTCATCTTAAAGAGTCTGGAAATATATACTGGAAAATGTCATTTTAACACTATAGTTTGATCAAACCAAATGAAACACTGTAGTTTTAGTGGAGAAATAAAAAAAAATTCAAAGGTAAAACTACAGAATATGACTTTGATAAATAAACTTATTCTATAACTAAATATCAGGTGTTAGAAAATACAAGTCATTCAAGAATATCCAAAAGGCATGACTGATTTTTAAGTAATTCCTTTTTTCTTCATGACTGGGCAAAAAAATGAGAAATAACTTGTTATATCTGGGATTTGAAATAACATGGCACTGCATTACACACATTTAGTACAGGACCTATTAATTATACATACAGAAGTGATGGCAATAAATACAGAATTAAATGATTAGGATAAAACCAACAAGTAGGAATGAATTTCTGGAACAAAATCAAATGGTAATTTATACTGCATTACAGAACTTTCCCAGCATGGAAATGTCATTGCTGTTAGTGAATTTTCGTAGAATGTGTTATCCTATACCGCTGATCCATTTTGACATTATTCAAGATTCTTTTTAACATGTTAATTACTCCGATACAATGTGTCTTTTAAGGAAGGAAGTGTTGCAGATTTAATGTAATTTTGGAGACTCACGAAGATTAGCCCATAAGCGACTCAGGTTTGCTGCTGTCCTGCACGGCCCTGTTTCACAAAGCACAGGAACATGCGCGTCTTGGCCTTGATACTATTGATGTCTTGTGCAACACATTCAGTGGTGGTTTTGTCTTATCGCATCCTGTTGGCCAGTGATTCAGCTAAATATTGCACAACAGAGCAACATCATTGCAGCCATCTGCTAGAGACCCTATATACTGTATGATGTGACATTATTGGAACACTGTTGAATAGTACTTTTTTTGTTATGGCTTATGTAAATATCCACAACAGACGTTTGTCTTAATCCTTCATATTGCTTGCACTCTATATAATTTTACAGAAGGATGTATAGTACCTATTAACAAGGAAACAGAGCCTTGGTGGTGATTTACCAAAACAGATCTACAGTGCTTTCCTAGAGCATATCTTAAAATGGCTGCCACATTAATCCATCACAAAAGGGAACATCTTGATTTGTAATGGATCATGGAAGCATCATATTTCCATGCTGCTTAAATTCACAACGGGGCATTTTAATGCTGTGTCATGCTTGAAACATAATGTAAACCTGTAATTAGTATATATGCATAGTGCCTAATTGTAGATATATTTCATTTCCAATGGTTAAAATGATGCTTTTGGAAAATAGACATATTATGAGATTTTAGCCAATCAAAGGAAAAGCAAGGACCTAGTACTTTAGTCCTTTTTATGTGTAATAGCTAAGCATGACATATAGAGCTGTAGTATAAGGAAAGCAAATTCTTTATGTGGGATAATGATGTATAACATCATAAAATTAGTTATAACTGAAATCTATATCATGAGGCAAGTGAACTTCAGTATATACAAATACCTTTAATTTAAGGGGACAAGGGGGGACATGACAATGAAAGGAATTAATTCCAAAAACATTACTATGGAAAAATATTTTTGCAGTGCACATTCATAAACAAAACAAGATATTAAAACGTTTATATCACTGTAGTTATAAAATTAACCATAAATTGATGACATCTCATCACAGGTTACACACGCAATTAAACACATAGACAATATAATTTGCTGAATTTCATGTGAGTTTAGAACAAGATTTGAAAGCATGTAGCAGTATTTTTTTTTACCAAATTATACGTCACAACGCACAATGCACAGCTGTAAATTCCAGACGAAACTAGTATCTATCGTATTAGTTGCTTAGTTTTTTGACAGCTGAGCTGGTGTCTCAGTTGATCCTCTGTTTCTGCTACTGATACATACAAATACAATTTTTATCCAAAATCAATAGACATGCTCCTGAAGAATACCGTCAATGCAGATCGGTGCAGCTGTTAACAACCATTGTAAAACAAATAAAAATTCTCAAAGAAAATTCTGACAAATTTAATAAATCCGTCAATTTAATACACGCCAATTAATCTGTTATAGACACCACAGAGCATCTATATTTTTATACTCAGTGAAAACGTGTTGATCCACACACCCCCTTTTCATCTACCATTCATACCATGCCCACAGGTGAAGAATCAGCACTATGCGATGGACCAGCAGTATTTATGGTTACAGTCAGCATCATACCTTTGGCCACATCCTGCGTCTGTACAGCGCCCGCTTCGGTCGGAGATCTCGGCGGAGATTCATCGCACTCGAAGAGCTGGTTTACTTCGCCTTGTGTGGCCGGCAGGCATTTGCCCTCTTCCTTGGAGAAAGAGGTGACCGTAAACCTCTGACTCATGATGGGATCGGTGCGAGGCAGAGCTTAGGAAGACCGACGCGCCTTCTGGCTGCCTGCCTGCCTGCCTTTGCTCGGTGGAAGAATTCACGTTTCCAATGTAGACAACAGCTGGACTGTCAGGCACTATTATTAAAGTAGGCAGATAAATCAGGTCTATTGGATGCCAGGCGTCTCTTTCACAATATGTATTTTTTCTGTTTTTTTCCCATAAACTGTGCAATATTTCCTATACCCTTTCGCAGATAAAAGATACTGTAGAGCAAGCTTTCACATCAACCGGTGTCCGCGTCGAGATGTGCATCTGGGTCCTAAAGCCGATGATGGAGGTGGCGCTGTTGCAAAGGCTGTGATATTTCTTTTATTCCACACAAATAAATAATACTAAAGATTGATAGTTGTCACATAATTAGACGTCATCGTTTTCTGTGATTTAGTGTTTGAGTATTAACTAGCATTACTTGCAGTGCACTATAATTTAAATGTTACTAAAATAAAGTAATTCCATGTATACATTAATGAGAAAATGTTGCTTTATTTTCCATTTGCACAAGCAGGCCTACATTGGAATCCTTCTCACTTTTGGGACACACAAAACAACTGAGGTCCAAACACAGGATCTAGCCAACATGCAAACCTATGAATCAAACGCACAATAATGAACTCTTACATCTGGACTAGTTATGAATACTGAGTACTGTTACCATACTTTTTTTCATAATATTTATTTATAGGTGCTGGACAATTTGTGTGTGCATTTTCTTTTTAATGTAATGTTAATGCATTTTATACATTCTTTTGTATGCCATTTTTTTTTTGGGGGTTAAGGGCAATGTTCAAAGGCGCAACATCAATGTACCGGTAACTATTATGCTGAAGATGGAACTTGAACCTGTGACTGTGCGATCACTGAAATAGAGACCTAACCTTACACTGTCATACACTGCCTCCCTATGGCACCCCATTAGTCATATGCTATACAATCTGGACAAAAAGTTAAATCTTCTCAACCCAAATTGCATAATAAATTAAAAGAGAGTAGTAATGAATAATCTTTTGGATAGTTCATTTATATATATATATATATATATATATATATATACACACACACACACACACACATATTATTTTTATTGCCGTAATTCCTTTGTCTGCGGATGCTATCAGGAGTTACTAGGCATCAGCTCCTAAGACAATTTAAAATTACCTAAGGCACAGCCTTTATACATGGAAGATCTGTGGGAATGTCTGGATAGGGAGAGGAAAAATAATCTGTAATTAAAGTAAATTGTGGTCTTCTACAAGATTCTGATAGATATATTGATTATTGGGACCATATATCAATCGTGTGATTAAACTATTAACCTATTTAAGAAAAACTGAAGGGTGCTACAGAAAATAGAAATACAATGATGTAGTTCATGGTGATGGTGTATTTACCCAACTCTTACTGTCTTTGCCTTTTATTTTTCCTTTCACTTTAATGAAATTACTGATTCCTAAGCCCACTCAAAAAAGGTAAAACTGACTGATGCAATCTCTTGTGTAATTTTAAAAAAGGTTAATTTATGCAAAAATGAACATGGCAATGTGGCGCCATGATCTCAGCATTTCCATGTGCTTCATGTTTGTGGGAACATTTTAAATAAATGTTATTTGTATGCTATGGAATGTTATTCTTTATTACATTATTTCATTATGTTTACTGTCTAAACATATTAATATTTGAGGACATTCAAGAACATCCCTACAAATTTAATACATTTCTTTTGGGTCTTTAGTGCAAATGTGGGCTTCCTAATATGTGGAACACGATACACCTAACAAATAAGTGCTTATAGAAAAACAGAAAGAGGCATGTCCCAAAGAATCATGTTTATTGTTTTCTTACACATACATGTCCAAATATATAATCAAAAGATTAACTGAAGCCATCTATACAAGTAAAAAGCTTAATTTTATAACATTCACTTACATGACACAAAAAATGCCCTACACGAAACACTGCTCAAACTCAGAAAACATCATACTGAAAGAAATCCTGCATGCAATACAAAAACATTTAAAGCAATGTTTAAAATAACTGTTGACAGAGAGAACCAAAACACAGGTCAGATAAAGCATACACTATGTGCAAGGACAAGTTAAGGCCCCCATGGATTTGCTGTTTTAAGTGCAAACATCGGAGGTTTATTTATATAGTAATAAAAAACATTAAAGTTTAGTTACAACATATAAGCTGTGGCCTATATAAAGCGCTGAAATTATTTTAGAATCTGTTAACTTCTGTGTTTACATTTACGGAGTAAAATTGCATTGATTTAATTAATCACCTAACTGTGCACGGATTTTTGTCAATTGATGCAAATATTTTTTATTCTCCCCGCCTAATTTCATTACATTTGTAGTGAATAGGAAAGCTTTAACTTTTATAGAAAAATTGCATGTATCATACAATTACCATACAGTATTACGTTACTTAGTTATTGATGCGACTTACTGTTTCTACGTTTGTTATGCCAGTCTTGAAATTTTGCGTGCAAAGCTTAATGTTTTACTGTGAATTGGACGTTTGGATTGGCAAATGGATCGCTGTGCGTACAGAGTAAATGCTAACGTTTTAAGCCTGCACAATGTTTTATAAGAACGCAAAAATACTCAGTCTGTTGATTACCGTATTGGCGGATTAGTCAAACGACCAATCAAATGCCGCACTGCATATTTATCTTTAAACGATTTTCCATCGTGTGAACAATTTATATCATGAAAGTATTGCGCATATGACTTATCCATTATGAATGACAAATTTTTACAGACAGTTGTCGACTTTACACATTGATTTTCTTTTATGTTGGGAGGATCGTAATGCTTATTTATTGCACGTCAGCACACCTTAGCCCCCGTTTACATATTGCTGTCGTAACGCGATTACTTAATATATACACAACAAACCTTCATATATTGAATAACTCCTGCTACGCAACTGTTTTAACTTGACGGCGAAAAGAATATTCATAACATTCTTGCAAGCTTACAATGTGAATTTAAATAACTGGGTTTTCAATATCCGTCCGCTTTCCGTAGTGTTCTTCCGCCTTTGGCTAAAAAAAACCTAATTATGTCTTCCGCCCTCAAAAAAAATAACCAAATGGCCTAACACTTAATATCGGCTAACACTATTGATTTCTAAAACAAACAGATACTAAAAGCCGTCGTAACATGATATTTGTGGCTATATGTAAGGTAAATACCTTGGCGAACATTTTATGAAAGTGAAACAAATAAATGAGATCCGGTTGGCGTCCTGAACTAACCAAGGAAAAGTTGATGGCGCCCAGCAAGAATGCCGGAGCATTTATCTTTTTCTGTTAATCGCGGTTTCTGACGTACTGACGACAGGAAAATAATCCAGCGCCAAAGTCCAGGTAAGAAAAGTCATCTCGGGGTGTAGCGATTAAGAAACCCGCGTTAAAAAAATTCTTGGAGGAAGAGGGTAAGGCGGTCTGACCATGTCGAAGAGGCCCTCGGGGGTCCCTCAGCCTTTGATAGGAGTTTGAGGACTGCCTGAATCGAAAAGTGACTCAGGAAAATGGCGGCTCGCAGCAGGCAGTGGGGAGGGCAGCACGGCCCGGGTTTTTATTTGAGAAAGGGGCTGTTGTATGAAGTATTACGGCTGTGATAGGAGTCAGATTGAGACGCCTGAGAGAGATAGCACAGCTGTTGTACCAAATGGGATACATTTGTAGTTTCTTAGTTCACGTTCATTGTTGTTTAAATTGAGACGGTTTGGCTTTGTGTATGTCACAAAAATACAAATAAGGAATATGTGTCTAATAATATATTCACCCACACAGCACTGACCGTGCGGACACCAGTATGTCCGTAACCTTGGTGTTCAGCTTCCTAGCTATTTCTTTAAGTACGAGCATTAAATAAAATTTCAGATCGTTGTTTTATTATAACATAATTACTTGTTCACCAGGCCTGGTTACGCACATGTTCCTACAAAACTAGAGCTGCTAGGCTAACCATTATTGGAACGCTTACAACGAGATAGCCAACTAGCGAAATGTTACTGTGATAAGACAGGATTAATGAACGATTATTAACAAAACTAGTACTATGGCGGTTTGCTTCAAATAATTTAATAGCCACCATTTCAGTCTTTGTTACGAATTAGTTGGGAAGCGCGCTAAGATACGCCGCGCTTTCACAACATACGGTACACCATGCTGAATGAAGATATTACAGTTTATTTCTAGTGACCGAATTCTTCGCTAAAAGTGTTTTAAATAACACAAAAAGCTGCAATCTCAGATATCTAGCTACTTGTTCACTGAACACTTAATAAGCTCTGAGTTAAACCGAAGTGCTGAAGTACCATGATAGTTCACCCAATATCGGACCTAATGTTAATATTTATTACGCTATTGAAACAGCACGCTAGAAGATGTTAGTGTCTTTCCAAATAAAAACTACATTTTAAACAATATGTTTTTGGTTGTGTAGCTTTATAGTTACCGTAAGAAACTGTAGTACATGATGACTGACTCAGTGTAGTTGCGATTAAGGCAATGGTTCCACAAGTGCAAATAAAACCATGAGAAACATTTAAGTCTTAAGACCAGCTGTATTTATAGTATGCTAGTTCACAATATCCTTTGCAGTATACTCAGGAATGCTTATTTGTTTGGTGAAGCACAAGGTCGCTGTCATCTTGTAGGTGTAGATTGTTAAGGTGGGTCTTGAATTTCTTCTTGAATGTCAGTGATTGTACTATTCTGATGTATTTTATGTTTGCTGGTCTGTTAGGAACTAGGTAAGGGAAAACAACTGAATTTGTCGTGAGGGTTCAGAGAAGTGCCACAACAAAATTATAAGTTGCACAAAACGGGGAGTATTGGACAATAGCAGATGGGCAAATTACATATTAAAAGTAGGCAGGGGCTATAAGATGGAAAACGCATCTTAGACCAGAGGAAAAGGTGGTGTGTAATAGTAGTATCAGTACTACTGGTAGTAAAGTGTCCTACATTTGTGAAAGCAAACAGGTTGAGGAGATCATTGGTATTAAGGTAAAAAGACAATTGGTTGCATATCTGATCCCTGGGGAACATCTTTCAAGAAAGGAGTAAGGTAAGAAGCAAAGAATGATATATTACACTCAAGCAGCCATACTGGTGTGAGTCAAAGTAGGTGGGGACTTGTACCGAGATCCAAAGGTACCTGAGATAGGAAATGCAGATTGAGTAGTTGAATTTGTGATTTACAATTTTAATAAGAGCCACTTGGAATAAATCCCTTTGTGTCACTTAATGTTTGAGGACTGGACGTGCCTTTTTGGGTCAAATACATCTTCTGTCATAGGCTGAAACATCAACATGTCAAACTTGGATATTTTTATGTCAGCTAGAGCCTTTTTTGAAATTGGTTTTTATGTAGAGTCAACATGGCATTACCAGTCGGATCAGAAAAACTCAACCTGGATGTGGAGTAGCCTGGCTTGATGACAGAATTTGCTCTTATGTCTAATTGTGTCCAATGTACTTTCAAACAAACAAGCTTCCATCACATTCAGTTATTCCAGTAGATTGTAGTAGATCACACCTTTAATGTTCTTAGGAGAATACACATCCCTTCATAAGGTATTAAATGTGCTGACACAGACTGGGGGCAGTTTTATAGTCATTTGCTCAGAAGCTCCTGTCTCTGTGCTATCCAGACACCTGGATAGCTTTTAAAATTATTGATACATCAAATGTATGATTTTTCTGTGTGACCAAGTTCTTAAAAAGGTAAAGTTAATGAGACAAATTAACTCTTTCTTTCAAGAATATTCAAGCTATACACTGAAAATTTCAAGACTTGGTCATATGTTCCATCCTTCAGAAACAATGACCCTATGACAAGCCCATTCTCATTTTTGTCTCATGCAGGTCAAAATGGATTCAGAGGACAATGAGGTGGAAAGCAGCAGTGATGCAGGCCCGTCTGGTCTGGAGGAGCCCTCAGAAAGTGGTATGGGCATGGAGTCATCGGAAGCCATGTCTGCCGACAGCAGCGACACTGCTACTGTGCCCACCTTGGCACCCGAGTCAGACTCCCATGTAGGACAGAGCTCAGAAGGGCTTGTGGTAGGTCCGCGGCAACCTGAGGGTGATCGTCCATCTTGCTTGGCAGAGGCTTTTGACTAAAATGATTTCCACTAGATTTCACACTGCTAATTGTTTTTCCAAAATGACACAGATGAATTTCAAGGAACTTATTGTAAAAAGAGCCATGGAGAAGTACTCACATGGTTGTTTTTAGTACTTTGATCACTGTATTGTCCTGAAGTGAGCCTCCTGTACCTTTGTGTTGGTGTGGTTTGCCCGTGTGACTTCCCCGTTGACTGTTCTCTATCAATTCTTTGGTTTATGTCTTTAGGAGCTGATACCTGAGACCAGCTCTAGCACCGATGTACGGGGCGTGATTCATCTTCCAGACTCCTCCTCTGTGGCCCAGTCAACAAGTGTCTCCAGTGTCTCCACGGTGACACAGTCTATCCTGGTCTCCGAGTCGGCCCAAGTGCTGGTTCACTCCAGCGTGGTGTCAGATGGGGGGATGATCGTGTCAGACTCCACTGCCTCCACTTCTTCAGACCTTGGATCAGCTATTGACAAGATAATTGAGTCTACCATAGGACCTGACATAATAAACGGTAGGAAGAAAATTCCTTAGGGAGTTCAAGAAAAGGAGTTTAGAAGAGAAAAAACGTCTGTTTTTGTGTAATTTGTGCTTACGATAAGTGACACTAGATAGCGTGTCATTAATTTCTCTGCATGGGTTTATTATTTTTGCTGAGAACCATGTCTGTATTTTGCAGGTTGTATTGCAGTGACGAGTGCAGAGGATGGAGACGCTGAGACTACTCAGTATCTTATTCTGCAAGGTCCCGATGATGGTTAGTCTTTACGTAATTCCATTTATGGAAATTATTGTAAGTTGTATTGTTATTTGACTACAGTTATTTAGAATTTAGTAACTATCCATCCATTCATCCTTTCTTTCATTCATATATCTTCTAAACACTTATCCTGGTAACTGTCATGGGGGGCCAATCCCATGGAGGCATATGTGACAAAGCTGGAAAATTTCAACCCATTGCAGCATAGGCATCCAAACTAATAGAAAAAAGCCTCTGGGTAAAAACAACTGGTTGACCAACTCCCACATTTAGCTACATAATACTGTAGTTTATTCCAAGACTATAGTGAGGTGCCCCTTCTAGGATTTCTGGTCCTTTTTATTATTTTTGGCTACATAACCTGGGGTCACATGTTTATTGAAATGGGTACAAATGGAGACACTGTGTTTTCTCTTATCAGGTGCCCCCATGGTGTCTGAAATGTCTTCTACTGCTCTGTCTAATCGCATTACCATTGATGCCCTTGCGGAAGGACCGACATCCACTTGCCTGGAGCAGTCCGACATTGTGGAAGACAGGAGGAGCATGCTGCCTGACCACGAAGCCATGGACCCAGATCAGCCTGAGCAGCCGGGCCACTCTGGCTACACCGAGCAGGAAGACAGCATGGGTGTGTGCCACTTGCGCCGGCCCCAGCGTTCTCGAGGCTTGGACTGCACTGAGGGGGGGCCTGATCAGACGCGCCATTCCCACTACGTTGACTGTGGTGTGGATGGGCCGGACAATTCAGAGCTTCACTCGAGGGGCCCTAGGCCCTCACCTCATTCCAGACTGCACCAATCCCGCTATCTAGAGAGTGAGCCTGATGGAGCTGGTCACCCACAGCACTCGCAATACATCGACTGCAGCTCAGATAGCTCGAGCCGGCCACAGGAGTACCTGGAGTGCGTGACTGGTGGACCCGACCAGACCCAGCACTCGCAGTATATGGAGTGCTGCATGGATGACCCAGACCAGACGCAGAACTCTCAGGACCAGCCACAACATTCCTGCTACATTGAGTGCAGCATGTCCCAGGGCTCCATCTATGTGGAGGAGAGCTCGTTGGATTGCCCTGACCAGCCCCAGCACTCCAGCTATATGGAGGGTAGCAGTGTCAACGTGGATGATAGCACACCCTCTCACAACCCAGATCAGCCACAAGATTACCACTGTGTGGGTAGTGGTGAGGACCAGCCCAGTCAATTCATTGGTAGCACGGGCCGGTACTCATCACATCCTAATGAGGTCGTTTCACAGGGAGATGGTGAGCTCCCAGAGAGACCAAGCCACTCGGCGGCCCATGGCGCTGGGGTCGCCGGACCTGAAACGGGCACTGGGCTCAGGGATCAGCCTCCAGACCTGGCGGAGCTGGAGGAGATGATGGAGGTTGTGGTTGTGCAGCAATTCAAATGCAAGATGTGTCCATACAAGAGCATATCCAAAGACACCCTCATCAACCACATGAGAGACAAGCACTTCAAGCATGCAGGTACGCCCGGGCAGCCTCAGTAGGCTTCCCGAGTCTCAGAATATAATAGAAATTTCTAGAGGTTTATTGGGAGTTGTAGACGTCTCAGCTGAATGCGAGTTTGGATGCATTCCAGCTAAATTGCAGTACGCTAATCCTCTGGATGTCCAGTAGCTGAATTCAGTGATAGTTGCTGTGTTGCGTAGGTGGCCCGCCACCCAAGAAGAGGGGTCGAGGACGGCCACGCCGCAGTGATTCGGCCGCTGCTCAGAAAAACGAGGCGAAGACCGAGGAGCAGCCGGAGGAAGAAGACGATGACATCGTTGATGCTGGCGCCATTGACGATGCAGCAGGTTAGACTGATGATGAATCTATACCTGAATTGAGGGGCATATGCCTGTAGTGAATGAAGCTCTCATTCAGTTGGTTTTTCCTCAGACGACAGCGACTATAATCCAGCTGATGAGGACTGCAGGGGGCGCCAACCGGCGCTACTCCGAAGTGTTCCGTCTTCTTCTTGCCTTTCCCACGAGCGGCCACGGCGTCGGGTGGTGCGACCCAGGAAGTTTCCGTTCTACATGAGCAATTCCCATAGCCAAGGTGACTCTCCAAAAACATCAGTAAATAAAGTTAATGTCGTATTTCAATCCAGTTAGCTTCATAGCTTTCTTGTTGGCTTTATTGCAATATGTTGTGTATAAGTTTTAATTCCATTGTTTTGGACCATTTTCCCTCATTCAGAAGCAGCAGCAGATACCCCAGTAGTGCCCGAGCAAAATAAGAATTTAGATCCCCAGGCCCCTGAGGAGGCCAGTTCCTCTGGGCTGGACAGTGGACCCGTCTCCTCGGCCAATGGACACGGAGCTGAACCTGGCATCAGCCAATCTGATTCCGAGAACAAAGATCCATCCTCAAATACAGGACCAGAAGAGGTTGAATATTACCCCAGAAAGCGGGGCCGACCCTCCAAGCGATTTCTTCGTAAGAAGTATAAGAAGTATCTGAACCGCAAGTAAGAGACCACCAGCAAGAGGCGATCAGAGCATGCTGTTCTAGTAGGGAAATAAAATATATTCTGTTTTTCCTCCCTTTTTATCTTCTAATTCATTGCAGTAGGTACTACAAATCCCTGAAGCCCTTGCTGAGGCCCCATAATTGCCGGATATGTGGCTCTCGGTTTCTGTCTCAGGAAGACCTTCGCTTTCACATAGACTCCCATGACGGCAATGACCCAGAGAGGTTCAAGTGCCTGCAATGCAGCTACAGATGCAAACGCTGGTCTTCGTTGAAGGTGAGCGAGAGCCATGTTCTGTCCATAGGGTTTGCAGCATAGCAGGCACCCCTGCAGCTAGGTAGCTAAAATGAAGTTTAAGCCTCACCCCGTAGTTTAGTAAGTGCTCATTTATTTACTGCAAATGTGGCATTAATCTGTAACTTGTATTTGTGAGTGAGGAGTACTGTGAGATGACCATTCTGTCATGTCTCTCTTCACTGAGAAGTGGCCTTATGTCTTGGCAACCAGTAAATTCTTAAAGCAGTTTGACACCATGTTGGGATTATCATAATAATACAGAATCCTCTCCTCACAGAGAAGCAGCTGTTGCTCAGTTTCTAAGTTAGAATCATTTGTGTTTGTTGAAAAACTGCTTCGTTTTTTTTTTTTTATACAGAAATACCTTTCAGTATTGATCATGAATTGGCTGCATCCAAGTTTCTGATGTCTAGTTGCTTGAGTTTCTCTCACTCTGACCCAGGAACACATGTTCAACCATGAGGGAACAAAGCCATACAAGTGTGACGAGTGTGACTACACTAGCGTGTACAAGAAGGATGTCATTCGTCACTCTGCCGTCCACAGCAAAGACAAGTAAGGGCTGCCACTTCGTTCTCACAATGAACATCTTGGCCTCAGAAAATATATATAATGATTTATCTTGTGGAGTATAATTCTGCTGAAATAAATAAAATGTGAATAGATTTTGGTGAAATGTCCTTTTGCAGTGGGACTTCTGTAATACATATTAATCAATGTTTGAATTTTGGTATACGTTCCATTCTGCATTAATTCTATAAAATATGGAAACGTTCGTTTAGTTTGGAAGTCATAATCTGCTTTGCTCATTTGATTTTATTTGGTTCTCTTCTATTTTAAGGAAAAAGAAATCTGACCAAGTAAGTTTCAGATATTTATCTTTAAAAGGCTCATGTGTTTTGCATGAACTGTAATGTCACTTAATTTGATGTTTCATATGCTGTCATACTAATGTTAACAGTTAAGACATTTCTGATATCTTTCATGAACACAGCATTTCGAATTTTAAGGTTATAAGTGAAATAGACTTCGGAGTACATTACAACAGAAGTAATAATTTAAGTAAAAAATTCAGGCAGGATATTGATTTTTAGATGTAGATGAAGTTGTAGATTATATGACGTAGATATAAATCAGAACAAACAATGGACAAAGCAGAATCTAAGAATCACTGAAAACATCATGCAATTTAAATAAGTGTATGGTTAATATTTGTAAATTATCCACACATATTGTGGTTCCTGTGAAATCAAAGGTTTTAAACACCACAGTTTTTCACCACTTTTCCAATTATTTCATAAATTGCAGATTTTTTATTCTAAGCACTTGAAAGTTGAGTGAACAACTATGAATGAAATAAAACGTTTACTTTATAACATGGAAAGAGTATGTAACAGTGCATGTCTGACATCATATTAACTGGTTGTGTGGTGATGGTGAGTCAAATTCTAGGCTGTCGTTTAACTTTAATTGCACTAGTTCACTGTTTCATGAAACAGAGCAGTATTTAATGTCCCTTGTATAATGAATTCCTTGAATTTTCTCTGCCGTTATAACTGCTAGAGGAGGTTACTTTGGTGAATCAAAGATATGACATTTTCTTGTTAATAAAGGTACTCAAATGGTGAACCTACTGTAAATTTATTTGCTAGCAAAGAACATTGAGTGTATTTTTAGTAAAGAACAGTGATGCTCCGATTGATCGGCCACCGATCATGATCGGCCGATATTGGCTAAAAATAGCTTGATCGGCGAACCCCAAAAGCGCCGATCAAAAAAGCCGATCACTTGACATAAATTACTCGCGCAACTTTTTCACACGTGCATGCATGGCGCACAGGTAAACAACAGCAGAGCGGAGCTTACTAGTGGCAACATGAGTTCTCCCGTCTGGAAGTTTTTCAAAGTGTCCGATAAAGACGTAAAGTTAGCCGTTTGCAATGTATGTCGTGATGAAATCCCTCGAGGTGGAAGCAAGCAACGGCATTTTAACACCACTAACATGATTAGGCATCTTAGAACACGCCATACAACTGAATACGCCGAGTATGAGAAACTAAACCACTCTTCTCTCGGGGAACATTTCATGTGTTGACCCTGGAGGTGTCAGGCAACAGTGCTGACCAAAGTGTCACTGCCCCTCCTTCAGTGTGGGGCGCCAAGTGTCAAGCGCTTGATTCTTCAAGATCTTGACTGTAGCCTATTTCTACGGTTTTTTTTTTCTCCAATATAGTTAATTTAGAGTTAGTTTCACTTCTACAAATGGTGCAAACTCTGCTAGATTATAGATAAAAGATTCCCATTCCCCTGCCATTCTGTGATCGGCAGTGATCGGCAATCGGCAGATCATGATCTTGGTAATCGGTGATCGGCCCCAAAAATGCTGATCGGAGCATCTCTAATGTTAAGTAACAGGCAAATGTAGAAAATTTTAGTGTGTGCAAAAACCTTTGACTGTTTAGTATGTGGCATGTTCATATTTAATGACACTGATGTTTATGTTTGTATGTAAGTATGTAAACACCACTTTCCTGAGTATCTGCTTTTCATGCCATGGAAGGCTTGTTTCGGTGTTCTGCAGGCCCCGAAGGTCACGCAGTACCCCTGCCCGGTGTGCAGCAGGGTGTACCCCATGCAGAAGCGCCTCACCCAGCACATGAAGACGCACAGCTCAGAGAAACCACACATGTGCGACAAGGTGAAGGACCTTATGTTTTCCAGCTAGTAATAAATTAATTTGTAGAGTTGGAAAATATGCAAGAATATACTGGTGGATTAGGTCAGTGTTTCCCAACCCGGTCTTCTGGGACCCCCACGCTGTCCACGTTTTTGCTCCCTCCCAGCTCCCTGCCAGACTTGCCCGTATTTGGAATCCAACCGGGAGCTGGGAGGGAGCAAAAACCTGATCTGTTTGAGGGTCCCCGAGGCCTGGGCTGGAAACACTGGATTATAGAGAGGTCTGCACATTACCGGCCTGAATGCGAGGGTGGCAAGAAGAACTTAAAAAGTTTAGATAGCAGCAGCCAAGTCACGCGGGGGGCGTCTCTCACCAGGTGGGGAGGAAAATAGATGGAGCAAAAGGAAACTGCAAAAGAAAGCATTTTGCTCTGGGTAAAAAAAAGAAAAAAACAGGACCTGGGGCAAAATGTTACTTTTGAGAAGTGAAAATTGTGGCCAAAGGCACGATCTGAACTCTTTGGAGAATCTGTGATAAAGTTTGAAAAATTAGGACCAAGTACCTAGGCCAAGCAAGGTAGGCCTGTACTGCAAGACACAAAGTGCGTGGCTCTTTTAGTGTGGATTGGTTTTCCGGATCTTTGCAAGTGTGAAATGGATTATCATTTAAGAAATTACACATTAATGTTTTCAATCAAAGCAGCTGCTTTAAAAGTAAATTACTGATCTGTACAAATGTTTCTTCTTTCTTTTCTATGAAAAAAATGGGAAATGCAGTGCTTTCATGTAGCTTTTTGCTCTCGTATGTCATCATTTATGGATAAACACTCTGTTAAATCTCAAAGTATATTATCATTTATGTAATGCATACATTTAATCAGTGCATAATTAATGACTGATGCATCCTGTCAGTAGGGCATTAACGATGACTCCTGTGATAGGCTGCTGTAGTCACATGGGTGTTTCAGGTGATTAACATGAATGTATTTTGTTCATTTTGTTTGTGTTTCAGTGTGGAAAGTCCTTCAAGAAACGGTACACTTTCAAAATGCATCTTCTCACACACATCCAGAGCTACGGCACCAGCAGGTGAGCAGGAAATCCAGTTGGCACTCATTGTAACTTTTACTCTCAATGTTAGAAGATGCTTTAGTGCGTTTGTGTGTTAGCGAATAGGAGAGCAGACGCTGCATGTTTCCCTCCAATCAGGTTCAAGTGCGAGTTCTGCGAGTACACATGCGACAACAAGAAGCTGCTGTTGAACCATCAGCTGTCACATACAAGTGACAAGCCGTTTAAGTGTGACTACTGCAAGTACTCCACCACCAAGGAGGACTTCCTGGTTTCCCACATGGCCATCAAGCACACTGGTGAGATACCTGCCAGCGCTAACAGACGGTGCCTAACAAAATCACCTTCACAGCGACTGTGCTTTTCCTAGCTTCATGTGACTTCATACATGAGCAGGATTATGTTATTTTTGTTTGTTTCTTTAATTATCCATGCTGTGTTTTTGATCGTTACTATTATTATTATCAGGAAATGTCAACCTGTCCATATACGGACAAACGTGTTTGTGGCAAGACTTGCCTGTGTCCGTAGCAAAATGTTTTGATTGAGGGGAAAAATACTGTGCGGGCAACGTTTTTAAATTGTCTGTGACCCCTGCTCTGCCTTCCCAGGTGAGAAGCCATTCTCCTGCGACTTCTGCCACTTCATGACCAAGCACAAAAAGAACCTGCGGCTGCACATCCAGTGTCGCCACCTAGAGGCCTTCGACGACTGGTGCCTGACGCACCCTGAGGAGCCCCCCCGCCGGCGCCGGCCCTTCTTCACGCTGCAGCAGATCGAGGAGCTCAAGCAGCAGCATGACCACACGCAGGCTGTGCAGGACGCCATCCGCGGGCCCATTGTGAGTCCCCCGGTGCCGGTTCATGTCCGGGGGGGCGGGGGGGGGGCAGTGATCCTCGCCTTCTTCCGACCCCTTGGTTTGTCTTCCAGGTGTCCGTGGACCCCATCGAGTTCCAAGCACTTCAGACCATGGAGAATGCGTCCGTCTCCCAAGATTCCCTGGGAAATACCACCATAATCTACGAACATGGTCAGTGGGGGGGGGCTTTATTGTTTCTGGGGCCCCTGGCTCCTGTAGCATACTGACTGTTTGTGGCCCTCGGGGAGGGGAGGCTGCAGTCTCAACGGGCCTCATACAAATGTGTGCTTTTGCTGCAGGTAAATAGCACTGCTGCTCGTGGCTGCATGTGGATTCGTTTGTGCCCATTTCCTTGCATTTTCCTTTGTTACGTATGTTCCTGTCAATCATCTCCCATTTTTGTATTCATTAGCCTACAACTCCAGTCCTCCTAGGTGACAGGATGAGCTGGATCTCATTCCGGCCAAGCTCTTAGTTAATTAACCTCTTTTATTTTCTAATTAAGCCATTATGTGGGGGGAATTGCATGGTGTAAATCGTGCCTGCATGCTTTTAGAAGTGGAGGAAATTTAAAAATTGAAACGCCTGCTTAAATCCCTGAACACATTTTCCGGTCGTGTTAAACCAGATGGGGACAGATGGTGGCAGTGTGACATAACTGTGCCCTTAGGCCCATTAAGGAAAGTAACGGCTTAATTCAGTTTTAATCACCCGTACAGTGTCACCTTGTACGACAAACATCCTATTTAGTGACATTTGTCCTGGAGTTTTTAACACTGGAGATAAATCATTTCACTGTCTCATGTGCAGGCAAAAAAGGTGTTTTTTTTTTTACCTTGGAAACTGACCCTTCTTGGCAATGTCAGCTGAAACTGCAGATTTATCATGTGTGGCTGCTCCAAATTGCTGATTTTGTGGGTGAAATGTAATCACACACAGTGTCAAATTAGATGACATAGCTGGTACCGTAACCTGTTTCCATAATGATACAAGATGCCCAGTTAAATCAGTATTTCAAATGCTCAACATTTGCATTGGTTATCTTTTGTTGAATTTAGGGTAATGTAGTGCTTTCCATGCTTGACTCAGCTGTACAGGTTTTTGTCCAAAGATGTTTGACAGATTAGCGGGGGAGATGTAATGCTTTTTGTATGGAGTGACCGTTATGCTGTTTTGGGGTTTCAGTCAGATTAATTTCTCTCTCCGGTTCCTTAGGAGACTCCTCAGACCTCTCTGCGCAGAACGCGCTGGACCTGCTGCTGAACATGAGCAACCCACGCGATCTGGCAGGGGGTTCGCTGCAGGTGAGGTCCCTCGCTGGTGACGGGCACGCTTGGTGTGACGTGTCACTGTTAGGATGCGACGACAGTGACATTCTGTAGGAGCCCTCGTTTCCGTCACGAGTCGTTCTGAGCCGAGGTTCACGAATGAAACCGACCAATCGAAGTACCGAAAAGTGCTTCCTGGGTGACGTAGACCCACATCGCCTCTAGGTGGCGGTGCTGAAGTCAGAGGTCGACGGCTCTGCGGAGGAGGAGGCTGACTCGCCGGGGCAGGCCCAGAAGGTCGTGACCTTCCACGTGGCAGAGCATGGCGGCGCCTTGGAGGCCGCGGCCGTGGACGAGGCCGGGGAGATCGAGCAGATCTCCATCAACGCCTACCAGGGTGCCGATTTTGAGCAGGTTGGGGAGGAAATCCAGAGCAGCGCCACCATTTACAGGTAAAGCGTCCTGGACGCTGCAATCAGAGCAGGTGTAGTTTTAAAGCCAAGAGTCACACAAAAAAATCATACAGCAGCAGAGGTCATGGCAGTTTTTATTTTATTTATTTTTAGGTTATTAAGATTTGAGTGTGATCCATTCAAAGACTGTACAGTTAACCACGTGGGGCTCTAATAATGATACTTAATTCATCCCTGTGGGGGAATTGGGTATTTGTCACCTATCCCATTTTGCCCTCTGTTTATATTCAGAGCACAGGGTCAGTCAGCATACTGCACCTACGAAGCAACTGCGGTTTAGGGCCCAGTGGGGCATCACTCTGTCAGCTACAGGATTTGAAGCAGTAACCTTCCCACAGTAGGTAGCTTATTGGCAAAAAAAAATAAAAATACTGGACCAGCATCTAAAATGTGGGCCATCCAGGTGCCAGAAGATGCACCTGAGCACGATACTAAACCTGGGTAAATCGTAAGCGGTCGGAGCCATCCTGAATTAAACTGCGTTCTCCAAATAAGCACGGAGGTGGCAGGATATAAATAAAAATGGCGGCGCAGCTGCTTCCTAAGGATAGGGACGTACGTCCTTGTGCTGGCTCTCCTGACCCTCCCCGACCCCCTAACCCCACCTCTGTGCTTGTTGGCATGACAACAGCGCGGAGGGGAGCCCTGGGTCGCACCCCATTGTCCTGAGCAGCGGCTCCCTCTCCGGCACTATCAAAGAGCACAAGGGCAAGTACTACCTGACGACCGGGATCGGAGGGAGCAGCGTGCAGCAGGTGGAGGTGAGTAGCTGGGGAGAGGAAACCCTCTGCCCCTCATTTGCAGTGTGACTGGGTGGCAGTGTGAGCCTGTGCCATGCAGTGCACTGGCATCCCATTCTGGGGGTGCCCCAGCCCTGCCCTATGCTGGAATGGGCTCCAGGCGCCCCTCTGGGACCCAGTTAGAATAAGCAGTCGGACCATAGATGGATGATTAATTGACTGAGAAATAACATATGGCTGTAGTATCTAAAGTTCTGCACTTCCCTGCAAATGTAACCCAAAACACTCGTCTTAGCCTATAAAACTGGTTCTCCTACTAAGTATAGATGTTGCGAATGTGTCATGCTCTGTCTGGTATGACTGTAACAGTCTAAGCTTAGTCACTGCCTTAACTACTGTGTAGTTCATACCTCAGTTTTACCTCGAGGAATAATGCTCCGGCGTGTTTGCAGAGTGTGGTAAGTCCCTGTATAAAAGTTGTCTGCCGGGCAGCATTTAGCGGGTTTTCGTCTCTCTCTGCTGTGATTGGCCATCCCCAGCTGAGCACTGAAGACCCCGGCTCCCCCTCCCCGGGCGGCTCACCTCAGCAGCAGGTCAACTCCAAGCGCTTCTCCTGCCGAATCTGTATGGAGTCTTTCCACGGACGCTCTGACATGGAGAGCCACAAGAGGGCGCACGTGGACCCCAGCACTTTCAAGTGCCCCGACTGCAACTTCACGGCATCCTCATGGCCGGAAGTAAAAGTGAGTTCCAAATCATTTGTAGCTGTATTCGCAGTAAAAATGTAGTTCTTAATTTTTTTAAATAATTTTTCTTTTATTTGATAATTAATGAAACACTAACAAATAGAATAAATTACATTATCTTTTGTCTGTTAAATGTTAAAATTATGCAAATTTACTGCTGTTATTATCAAATTATATCGTTTTTTCGAAGCCCTGTTATATTTTAGTTATAAATTTTTGCCCAAGACCCTTGATTGCATGTACGCACTTCCATGACGATGGGCGATCTCCCCACATGACCCCCAGACGCACATGGGCATGCATGCCTACCTGCGGCCGCACAAGTGTGAACACTGCAGTTTCGCCTCCAAGAACAAGAAGGACCTGCGGCGTCACACGATGACTCACACCAATGAGAAGCCCTTCGCCTGCGAGGTCTGCGGGCAGAGGTGCGCATGACGGGGGCTCGTCATGAAGCCAGTGTTGACATAAAATCGAGTCTTGTTAAAAACTGGGACTTTGAGAGTCATAAACACTCCATGATTCCTTCTAAAGCCGTGAATGTTCCTTATATAAGCAACCATGTTCAGATCAATGAAATTTACATTTACATTTGTACTCCTGAGTGTAACCTGTACAGTTGGGGATACAGTGCTTCACTGTGGCAGATGGTTATGTGTATATATGTATTTTTGATTGGGGTTTCAGATTTAATACTGTAACCCATCCACCCCCCCCCCCCCACCCCCAAAATCCTGTGCAGGTTCAACCGTAACGGACACCTGAAGTTCCACATGGAGAGGCTGCATAGCCTGGACCCGCCCCCACGCAAAGTGCGACCAAGCTCATCTCAGCAGGCCATCATGGTGAACAGTGACGAGGAGGCGCTGGCCACACTGCAGAGTGAGCATCTCCTCCAGGGTGGTGACCTCACCGGCCCACCCTCTCTTGTGGCTAGAGTCTCGTACTGTCACAGATTATCCAAGTAGTTTTCAGGTTCACACTTAAACATTTGGCAATAAAATGATTACGGCTGCTGTTTCCTAGAGTAGGGATGGGTGATGTATAGGATACAGTAATGCACATGTGGTGGTGGGGGGGCTTCTCTTTTGATGTTCCAAGTTACCTGTTTTCAATGACTGAAGATCATGCAAAATCGCCCTCCCCCCCAGCCAGTTGGCCATGCCCCCTGTTCCTAGAAAAGTGTGTGCACATCACTGCCAAAAATGTATGATATGTAAGCATATACCAAAGTCAGAATTGTATGTAAATGTGTATGAGAGAGAAAACAAACTTTTAATGGCTCTTCCAGTACAACACCTATATTATGCTAAGCTTGCCCTTTTATTTGGTGTGCAACAGTAACCCCTGTGTAGCTATGAAACCAGTTTGTGTCTGACCTTTTCCCTCATCTGGTAGGTGTTCTGTTTTTATCACATAGATAGAATAGCTAGGTACAGGGTGTAATTTGAAACAGTAACTGGGTTTTACTGCCTGTTGACTTAATGCCCATTGGTTACTAAATAATGGACATGATCTTTGGAATTGGTAGGGTGCCTACTAGCCTAAGAAGGAAACAAAGGGCAAATTGGCCTCATCACAAGCTCACCTCTGGGTTTCTGAACTTAATCCAGTATAAGTCTATTAAGAACTTTCATTTCCATGTCATGCTTAAGATGGAAACTTTACTTGGTGTAGCTGTTCATGATCTAGTCCCAAGGAGCTGCTTTGATCACGCACCGCTTGTCCCTTTACCTCCCCGCTGTCCCCTCAGCAGCTCTGCAGGCCGGGCAAACGGTCCTCACCCCCGAGCGGCTTCAGCAGGCCCTGGCCCAAGAGCATATCATTGTAGCCCAAGAACAGAGCCTCTCGGACCAGGTAGGCACTGAAGACCCTCGGACCACAGTCGGCTCAGTCTAATTCAACTCCCTTCACGTGTATAGGGTTATTGGTGATGATAAACTGATGAAAGTTGGATGTAAGCAGCCTGGCCTTTAGGTGCTGAGGGCAGACTTTGTGTTTGCAGGAGGAAGCTACGTACATCCAGCAGATCACCACGGTGGATGGGCAGACTGTACAGCACCTGGTCACGGCTGAGAACCAGGTCACTGAGGTCGAGTGTCAATTATGAGAATATTTTCAGTCACTTTTGTCAGTGATGTCCGAGACAAAAGTTTGGGAAATCAAAGAGTGGCTTTGTTTGCTATCTGTGCTTGCTTGGTGGTTCCTGAAAAATTAGACAAGCTCTGCTGGTTCGAAGCACAAAGCTCACTGTGAATTCTGGCCCCCTCACTCGTTCTTCCATCCTCATTTTAACGTGCCCCTCTCTGCCACCTGCAGGTTCAATACATAATCTCCCAAGATGGAGTCCAGCATCTAATCCCACAAGAATATGTGGTCGTTTCTGAAGGCAACCACATCCAGGTACGGGTGGCATTAGAACGGAGAGCAGAGTGTTAGCATAGTCACGACGCTTCTCTTACTCCTCTGCCTTTGGCTTCTCTACTGTGGCCCAGATGCAGGATGGACAGATAGCTCACATCCAGTATGACCAAGGAGGAACTTTCCTTCAGGAGCAGCAGGTGGGACATTTAAGCGGAGTGAGGAAATGATGCATCAGTTCTGCGAATAACACCATGCTAGTTAGCCTTTAGGGCCGCTGGTGCACTGGGTTGATAGATTCACTGAACCAGGAGCATCTTTTGAACTTTCTGTCCGTGGCCAGGAACTCAACGAACCATGACCATGTATTTGTCCATCTCCGTGCAGATCGCCCTGAGTCATGACGGTCATATCCAGTACGTACCTATCAGCTCGGAGCAGCAGATTGTCAGCCAAGAGGATTTAGAAGCTGCTGCCCACTCTGCTGTGACTGGTACGTCTGCCCTTTGAAGATGGATTTCAAAGCAATTGTCAATTTAATGAGGAAGAGGGGCTTTAGTTAATGTTGCAGTCTTGTGAAACAAGTTAGAGATGGCTAGCTGTAACATGTGACCAAGCGGTTTGTTTTAGTGGTTTTCTCTTAAGTGGTCACATGACAGCATGGGAGCGTCAGATATGCTCATAATGCTGCTTTATCTGTTACAGCCGTGGCGGATGCAGCCATGGCACAGGCGCAGACGGTGTATGCAACGGAGGCCACACCGGAGCAGCTGGAGCAGATGCAGCAGCAGGGCATCCAGTACGACGTCATCACATTCACGGAAGAATAGTGGCCAGCTAAGAGACCTTCCTCACTTGTGTCGGGAATCAGTCTAATAGGTCATGGGTCAGGTTTAAAATCTGAGTTTTAATAATTCTTAACAGTGTTCATTTCGAAATGTTAGCTTGGTGAAACGGTAACAATAGCAACTTTTCGTTTGTTTCGCTGGAGCATAGTATACCACAAAGACTGGATGCTAATTCAGCAAGTTCCTTTGGGATTTTTATTTATGGCATTTTTTTTGTATAATATATATAAAGATTGAATGTAAATACTATAGCCTGTTTGCAGCAAAAGGATTTAGTATGGTTTCTGAGGAATCATAGTGTAACAGAATGATGGTCAGTTGGAACTTGTAAGGGGTTCAGGTTTATGACTATTCTTTAATTTTTGTGATTACTATTCGATTGTTTCACAGTGTTATGAGAATCCTGGCATGTACAGAAACAATGGACTTGAATAAACCAGTATAATTTTCTTGGCTCTGAGCACACAATACGTAAGATCTTGTTTTTTTTTTATTTCCTTTGTCTTTGGGTTGCAATGTTGTAAATTCGATTCTCTTTCAGAAACTCCAGCATTGTTGTAAAACACTTCGGACTACTGATAGGATACAGGATGTAAAATTTTACTTTGTATAGTATCGCTATTTTGTTCTTTTGTGAATTGCTACATTGCAGTTGTACAGAGAAAAATATGAATATAGAATACTAAAAGCTTATACCAAAGACATAGTGCTCATTTCATTTACAGTAGTGTGCAACGCTTGTAACAAGTGTACAAAAAAAGATATTGACCATGAAATTGTATATATACATTTCCATTTGAGGTGATAAAGCCATTTAAATCTAACATTTAAAATAAGTACTACAGTGTATAAAGGGGTGACAAGTTCAAAATTACGAATGTATCTTCATGGGGATTTTTAGCCACTAATCAATGTGATATGCAAGGAAAGATACAATTGATACAACACGAATTAGTGCTGTAATGATGTTAAGCATTTAGTTCTGTACACATTATTTTAAGGTTATTTTGATAACCTTCCCCAAATAATTTAGGAGCATTAAAGAGTATGAAATGATGTGCTCCCAAAATAACCATATTTCTGGTGCAGCCACCAAGAAACTGTAAAGCAATAGCAATGATGAAATAATTCAATCGGTTGCTTCTACTTTAAATGAAAAATAAAACTATATGCCAGAAATAAAACTTGTCATTTTTTTTATTCTTAAAATATCTTGAATTTTCAATTTCATGAAAATTAAAAAATCTATTATCTGTCCCATCACACTAGTGTTTTCAACTTTATATGCACTGTAATTTCCAGTGAACATTGAAATTAAGCAGAACTATTTTAACCATTTAGCCTGCTTTTAAGTGGTAGTGATCTGATATGTTCATTAAAAAAAATCTAGCTGACTGCTAAGGTGTGGTTTTGCTGCCATTTTCAATAAACATTTCCAGCAAATATGCCCTCTTAGTTGGTGGCCCTATTTCCTCTGACACAGCAGTTGCTATCCCTAACACGACTGGCAAAAACTTGTGCCTGACTGATGTTAATATCTGCACAGGAAAAATATCTATGGGTTGTTGCATTCATGGGATATTTGCACCATTCAGAAGCACTTTGACTTTCTAAAATGTGGCATAACTTTTTCTCACCTGATTTCATACATAAACAAACATGCAGGTCATTCTCAGTACAGAGTCTGTGACATGTTAGTTGCATTTCTGTCATCTCAATATTAAACTTTTTTGTGTGTTCATGTACTTGCTGTCCATCCTGTCATATTGAGGTAACTGTTCCTTTAAGAGACCCCACATTGTTTGTAGTTGGCTGTGGTCAAACTTAACGTCATTAATAAATGTCCAATTAATATTTTATAATATTAAAATGTGCTTGAAGCACAACAATGCCTCCTTGAAAAACTTGTAACTGCAGGTCAATCGTATTTTCATCAAACGCTTACTTTAGGTAAAAATGTCCACCTTGTCATACTTCTTTCCTGACAGGGTTAACATGCCTTTTATGAGGTCCCAAAGATTTATAATAAAAAAACTTGTAATACAATTAATAAAATCCCAACAAAAGACCCACAGTTCAAAGAAACCACACAAAACCAAATATACGAAACACTTCGTGGCTTTCGCACGTCTGGGCAAATCCTCTCCATCTTTCCCCTCCAACTGGCAAAGGATATTTAAGTTTAATTATTTCATCTGAAGCTGTACACATGGTGTATTTCGGGAATGATAACTGTCATGTGGTATATAAATTCTGTCAATTTCAAAATTTATAAAAGGACAGAGTGGAACAGCATCTTCACAGTAATGGAGAATGTGCATTAAACATATCCGTGTTGAGAGTTGGGAAGGCTGCAGGGTACACAGGAGTCAAGCGTTCAGAGCATGTGACGTCCGTGTCACAGAACCATTTCCATCCGCGGGAAAGTGATTTTTGTGACCCACGTGTGCCAATCAGAACGGTGTGACAACGTGTCTGTGTGCGTGTGCTTGAAGCCAAGTCTCAGATAGAGCCCTATAGCTGCCGTCTGGATGGAGCTGGTCCTCAGAACTATTCTTGAATACTTCCGCTCCCGGCAGAATTCGATGGCAGTACGAGTCAGTCGGGTGCCCAGGCCACTACGGCGACAGGACGATGAGACGATCATGCGGAAAATCTCGCCACAGCGCTCTTGCTCCTCCTCTTCGCCATCATGCGCCTTCCTCACTGCGGCAACCATGCCAAAAATCCCAGTCTCTCCGTCGACTATGCCCTCTGCGACCCAAAAGCAGCTATCGGGGTTGTCGAGAAAGCTAGCCTGGATGTCCCGCATGTCTGTGTGTAGCTTCTCTTCAACATAGCCGGCGTAGGTCTCATGGCAGCAGTAGTACACGATCCCTACCCAGGCTAAGCCGGACATTAAGGCCAAGCTACAGGTGCATCCGTCCAGCAGGTAGATAGTAACGGAGATTATTGCAGTCAAAGCCACATTGTCAGGGTGACACATAGCCTTGAAGAACGCTGGACGTATGTGCTCCGTAATCCCATTGCGAAAAAGGGTCAAAACCGCCGCCCTGTCAGAGGGTTTGTAACGTCTTATCACCCACCGCACTGAAAGACATGGAAATTGTTAATAATTTGGTGCCACTTTAGCGTGTGCCCTACTATCTCAGTTCATACAACAGTGTGAATTAAATCTCTCCCTTGCCTTTATTATAAATGTCTCCCTTGATTATTTGAAAGTTAAAAAATAAAGTAAATAAAAATATAACACAAAATGCATGCACCACCGAAACCGTAAATATTTATGTGCCGCCCGGTGGTTAAGCTCGATAGTCGCTAGAGCACACGCTAAAGGAGTACCGATAATTTAATCACCAACAATCTGAAACACTAAAACAGAAGACGTTAGACTAACTTACTTTTACATAAAATAACTACGTAAAAAATAAAATACTAAACTCTACTGATAACCAAAATACTCCAACACAAATGGCTTGAATGCGCCCGAAAGCTCCGTAATCGAGCTAATAAAACTACCCGAGCTTTTACCGCAGGCGTGATCACGCGATCATGATTGGACCAAAACAGTCACGTGACACACACAGTTTGAAGACCATAAAACAGGTATGATGCGTAATATTTGCAAAATATACATAGAATAATAAATTCGTGATTTACACGTAATATAGTGTTAATTGTGAAATGAAAGATGAGTTTTGTGATATTAATAACGTAACTGAGAGCTCAACAGGCTGCACCTGTGGCAGCGGCTAGGGGGCGGGGGCGATACCGCAATTCCATATTTCAGAACCGCGACAGCAGATCGTGAACGTTTCATTCAACGTATATTCAGTGATACCTGACCGGCCCAAATCTCAATATGCATCGCGACGTTAAAGCATGTCGTGAGGTAAGCAAGTTTCGACAATTTGGGGGAAAATAGGCGTAAAATTATATCTGAATTTCCCCAAACGCAAACAGACAAGTGGCCATAATTTTATGCCCCCCCCCCCCCCCCGTTCGGATGTGTTACCGCAATTGTATGCGATCGAGGTGAAATCAGTTTTAGGTTGGATATTCCACGGATATTCAGATCCACAATCTCCAGACTTAGCGGCGGTGTTTCACTCACGCTAGCCGGTGTTCCGGGCAATTCGGTTTCCCTATGTTTCCCCTGTCGCGCGCTGATTTGTACACGGTTTCGCTGTTGTTTTCATATCTTTTTACAAAGCTCTTGAGGTAAACAAGCCATATATTTTAAAACATCACATGTTTTTTGTTTTTACAGATAATAAATGAAAGTATTTAATTTGCTGGATAGAGATATTTCTTGATGAAAACGGTATAGGATTGCTTATAAGACTATATTATGCGTGACGATCTACTGTATTCACATGTAGTAATGTACCTGAGTGATTTTCAGACATCTCACATACATATTTGCCTAAATATTAGGAGAAACATTATTTCCTGACATCCAGGATATTTGGTTCCCCCCTGTTAAAACAGGTATACAGCAACTCTGGGCCTCGGAACTAATAACAATACAGTATTCACATGTAATAATGTACTTGAGTGATTTTCAGACATTTCACATACCTCTTTGCTTTAATATTAGGGGAAACATTATTTTCTGATAGACAGGGGAAACATAGGGAAACCGAATTGCCCGGAACACCGGCATAAGGCGGTCGAAAGACGGCCAGATCAATTCCACAGCCTCGGAGGCGCTCGCGCACCGCAAATTTAGGGACCATCAACGAATTACTGTCAGAATAATAAAATACTGATTGCTTGCAATAACTTCAATGCAATGGGACCCAGTAACTCAAAACTGAGTGCATATTCTACAACTACCTGACATACACAGGACACAGTGAACTTTACTCATTTTTAACACTTTATTGTATTTTAAATGATCATTTTAAAAGGAAAAAGTGGGTAAATAGATTTCTTTCAATAGCTTCTAGGCAATGGGAGCTTATGACGCCAAAATGGGTGCAAATTATGCTACTACCTGAGGCCTATAGGACACAGCAACTGTAATTCAATTTTAACCCTTTGTGATTTGGGTATGATTTTTTTTTTCTAATTTGGGTTTTTTTTCAATAGCCCCTAGGCCGTAGGAGCCTGCAACCCAAAACCTGGTGCCAATTGTAGTACTACCTCAGCCCTATAAGACACAGATCTTCAGTGTTAATAAAACCCACTATATAACACCTCTAAGAAATTTTCCCCTTCAGGGTCTAATTCAAACGCAAGCAGTTTTTGGACGTTTGAGTTGCAATTAATGCATCATGGGACAAATATTTGGGGTCCGGACTTAATTCTTATGTATTTGTACCTCTATACAGAATGATAAGGAGTGTCTCCAACAACTTACCTAGGCAATTTGTGGGTGCTACGGTTCTGATTAAAAAATTTTGTCCCAGGACTTGTTGTGAACAAAAAATTCAAATATCGCATCCGTCTGAATTAAAACCTGAAGGAGACCTTCAGTACCAAAGGGCTCAGACCATGCGTCGGTTTTTCACACGCCGGGTGTGAGAATGTGTTGATGAGCAAGGTCCAAGGGAAGCGGGGACTACTATAAAGGTAAGGCACAGGAGATGCTGAGAACACAGAATTAAAGCTCAGTAGGTTGCATGAAAACAACAATACCTGACATAGAATGTGGGGGCGATCCGGGTATTAAAGGCAGAAGGACAGGTGCAGTCACTTAGTCGTGTGACTAGGGGAGGTGTGGGATGTGACAGTAACTTTCTGAAAATTTCTTAGAGGTGCTATATAGTGGGTTTTATTAACACTGAACATCATTAGGGTGACACAATTTCACAATAAGAATACATATACAATGCTTGAAAGGATACAAACAAAAGTTGCTGTGTCTTATAGGGCTGAGGTAGTACTACAATTGGTACCAGGTTTTGGGTGACAGGCTCCTACGGCCTAGGGGCTATTGAAGAAAAAAAAAAACTAATTTTATAGAAAAAAATCATATCAATTAAACAAAGGGTTAAAATCGAATGAAAGTTGCTGTGTGTGCCGGCTAGCATGAGTGAAGCACCGCCGCTAAGTCTGAAGAGTGTGGATCTGAATATCTGTCGAATATCCAAGCTAAAACTGATTTCACCTCGGTATGCGACCGCACAGTTATGACTCCGTGATTGTCTTGGTTGCTAATGATTAACCAGCTCTCGAGTCGTACCTACAGCGCCGTAGCCAGGATTTTTAACCGAGGTGTGCCTGTAATGGATCGTCGTTATTGGAGTTGACTTGACCTCGGTTTACTTAATGGTAGGCACGGGCATGCCTACCTACAGCTCTGGAAAAAATTAAGAGACCACTCCATTTTTAAGTCTTTGTTTAATCCTGGTTCTGTTGACATAAGGCTACACTGAGCAGCAGGTTGCTTCCAGGTTAAAAATTTCTAAGATGGTAGTTCACGAGAACAATGTGAAGTAGGAGACAGTGCGAACGACCAGAAACCAGCCAGAGGGCAGAAGAGACTTTCTAATGCCAGAGATGACCATCAACTTGTCCATCAGTGCCTCATGAATTGGAGGATGACCACAAGTGACCTTCAAAAAGAATGGGAAACATTTAGTGGTGTGAAGTGCACTGCTAGGACAGTGTGTATCAGGCTCCAAGAAGCAGGACTGAAGTCCCATAAAGCAAGGAAGAAGCCCTTCATTAATTAGAAACATGGAAGAGCCAGGCTGGAGTTTACAAAAAATGTATATTTTATATAGAAGCATACCCATAAATTGAGAAATGAGTGAAACTAAAAATGCTGCTGTGGTCTTTTAATTTTTTCCAGAAGTGTATGTACAGTAACCACTCCCCAAATAACAAACTAAAATACAGCTCAGGATGTCTCAGTTTAAAGTCCATAAAGGAAATGATGTTAAGGTTGTCTAATATTGTTTGGCTGACTGTGGATGGTTAATTTGACAATTTCTGGTATATATTTCAACATATAGTTGAAGGTGTATGTTGATACGATATATTTACATGATTTGTTGTATTTTCCAAGAAAAGGTAAATGTTAAAATGTTTCAGAACTAAGCTTAAGGCTTACTTTTTGCATGATGATATTCTACGTCATCAAATCTTATTAATAAAAGGTAACTCATTTAAAAAACTGATCCATTACTTGGCATCAATAAATTTTGTCTGGCAGTAATCCTTTAGACATGACAAAATCAAAAAAGTACTTATGTGTACACTGTGCATCAGATCAAACGTTCATTCACAACAACAGGAACAGATCCAAAAGATTGTAGAGCTGAGCAGTCAGCAAGGAGATTTATTGGTACACAGGCACAGCTGCTGTACTTATCAGAGATTAGGTACATTTCGGATAATGAAGAGATAATTTACAGTCACACGTGTTTTGTACTGCAATAGTTCAAAACAATACAATAGTATTATTAACATGTGCTTACAAAACATATAAGGTAATTTCTCTTTTTTGGTAACAATTCACTTGACAGGGCCAAAATACTTAGTAATAATTCTGTTACAACTTTAGTACGAATTATGAACAAATATAGTTGCTACGTAAAATAAAAGATGCATCATGATCCACTAATGATGAGTAAACATGACATTAGTATTTCACCACTTGTTACTACAGACCGGCCAGGGACCAGAATTGGCCCATTTTCAGCATGCTTTGCCCAGACCAGAGACCAGCCAGTCAGTCTCATGTATTTCCAATACCGAACTGGTCCATTTTACACATGCACCACACGTCATACGCACAGCCGCGTGCACCTTCTCTGCCATGTGCTAACGTGTCGTTAGTGTGGAAGTCCGTCACTGTGAGGGAAGATGACACTAATGCCTTGTCCACACGTACACGGGTATTTTTTAAAACGGTTTTTTTCCTCCTCCGTTTTAAAAAAAATCCCCGTCCACACGAGCATTGTCTTCTAAGACATTTCCGTCCACATGAAACCGCTAAAATATGCTGTCAAGAGCATGCCAAACCAACAAGCGGCATTATAACTCTAACCGTACTGCCATGTTAGCCAATCAGAAGCCTAACTGCCAGTCCTGTTAAGTTGAAAACTATGGCGCACATTTCGACGATGTTGATCAATATAATGCGAGAGTGACTCAACATTTATCTGTATACATGTAAGAAGTCCTGTCAGCAAGGTTAGCACAAGCACTATTTCGGCTAAGTCCGCCATTGCTCAAACTCCCCTAATGTATACAGCAAACAGCGCGCGCGCTCTGACATTAAACAAAGTGGACAACGGCACACAATCTGACGTTTTAAGCCAAAAACTCTGTTTTCCCTGTCTACATGTCGACTCTGAAAACTGAGTTTCTTAAAATCTTCACCCTGGGTGGAGTTTTGCAAAAGCTCCATTTTCAGTGACCTAAGACGCCATTTACGTGTGGACAAAAGCCCAAGACGTATAGAAAAAGGTACTGTACGTTTTTAAAAATACCCGTGTACGTGTGGACAAGGCATAAGATTGCAGTTTGTAATAGGCCTACAGTATATGTAAAGCCAAAGTAAACCGCCGAGGAACAACCACGAAAACGTGGTGAAACATCAGAGGTAAAATTTAAACTGATTAGCAAACATTTCCTAGATGATATTGAAGATAAATAATCATTAACATTGCAAAGCTGACTAAGGTTTTTTTCCTATGACAGAGTAACATTTTTTAGCGAAACTTTAACCTCCTGCGCTATAATGTCCGTGCAGTATGAAGGTATGAAAAAGCCTGATCTTAATCTAGCTTACTAACGATGTTAGAACTGTTTATGCGTTGGTATTAATAATATTACCCTGCACCTGTTATTATTTGTAAGAGAATAGTACACTTAGTTGTATTTGGAGGTTTGTAACCTATGGACTGTAAATTTCGTGTTATCTGGTGAATTTAAACATACTGGAAAATGACATAAGTAACTGACATTTGTTATTTAAATCTGTAGCACCTGCTCTTGTTTGGTAAAGTAAAATATGTCAGATAAAGTTGGGTGTACAGCAGCTCATTTTCAGTTAATTGTTATTTGTACTTCTTTCAGGTCACAGAGCACTTTATTTTGAGCGTTAAATGAGAGAAGATCCTCTAACTTAGTGCAGTTTGGGGGAAATTGTAAAGTTTAACATTTTTCTTTTTATTATAAAAATAGAATAAACTCAAAATAAATTTTGCATTGAAGAAAAGTTAATTTTTTTGTTTGTGTATGCTGTCAATTATAGTTCTTAGAAAGAAAATTGGAGTCAATAAAAATCGGAAATTCGAATCAGCTAAGAAAATTTCAATCGGTGCATTTCTACTTGTTACTAAAGTGGTTCCTTCAGTAGTTCACAAAGGTTTACAGAATTAACAGATATAGTAAATATAGTAACTACTTAGTATGAAAGATGCATCATGATTCATTAATGATTAACAAATATGAGATCGGTATTTAACTTGTGTTATTCATGAGTTGTTCCTTCAGTAGTTTACAGGTTTACAGAATTAACAGATATAGTAACAAATATAGTAACTGCTTGATAAAGCATGCGTCATGATTCATTAATGATGAATTAACACAAAATCAGTATATAACTAAGACTTAGTTTGTGGTTAATTAATACATAAGTAATAGTGTACTACTATATTATTTGTGCCCTGTCAAGTATAGTGTTACCATGTTTTTTAAAAGAGTAATGACTAATCTTTTTTAAAAACAAACATAATTTAAGACCTTGTGCTGGCCAAATAGCTTATTATAGGATTGCTATATATAATTTTGCGACAAGGTACTACACATAAATAATTGCATTAAAACAAATAATTAATTACAAAAATACATGTATAAGTGTCAGGGACAGTGTGATTTGTATTTCTTGATAATATCTCTTTCAGTCAGTCAGACATATGATTTCAATTCCACTCATTAGGAGAGACAATAAGGTAATTACATTCAATTCAGTTCACATTACCCAGAGAAAAATTTTAGCATAAAATATCTAATGGAAAGGAAACAATTACTATTTTTTTTTTCATTTTATCTATGAATTTTTTGCAAGTAGTTCCAGAACTCTCAACTGTACATAGTCGGCTTGAACAACATAATTTGCTTTTCTTCCCATTTTGTTTATCAATTAGTATATATGCATACAGTCCTGAGTCACAGTGCTTCCCTTTTTCTAAAACATGAAAATAAATAGTGCAAGTCACCTGCATCGATTAAAAGGAAACAAAATAACAAACAAAAAATAAAGCAAAAGTTAAAAATAGGATAATTTTGTTTTCTTTTTTCAAATGATGGGTAAAAACTACCGCCATGTCCTTGTCCTTATAAAAGAATAGAGCTCTCTTATTGGGGTTTTAATAAAATTAGCAGGGAATATGACAATGATACTGGAAAGCTAAAGATAATGAAGTTTTGGCGTCTTTAATCCAAATTTTTCATCAGCGTTGCGGTCCGTCAAAGAGTCTCTTCCAACTCTGTGCTTCCATTTGTCCGTTTCTTCAGCTGTAGGTTCTCTTTATATCAATTGCTCGAAAGGGAATGGGCTTTTCTTTTTGTTTGAGAAAGAGAGAAATTGAAATAAATTATTAATATAATTGTGAATGTAATAAAAATAATCAACTTTGATTAATTAGTATTTTTTAATGCTTACACCAAGTTAAATGATTTTTGTATTACCTGGAAAAAGTACACATCTGTCAATCAATATGCTTAGAATTTAATTTTTTTTAAATGTATTATCGAAATATCTTAAGGAGTCAGTACCATTTAACTCTAAATAGCATGCAGATTGTTATTGCTGTGGAGATAATTAGCATTGATTAATTGTTGAGTGAATTCACAAACTTTATTCAAACCAAACACGTTACCTGAGGATGTGATATTGTTATTCAGTACTGATATCCCGAATTAGTGTTAGCTGACTGTAAGAATGGAAAGAGAAAAAAAACTGCCAAAATCGAAATTATCTGAATAAAATATTCTCCCATTTTTTAGCTTTTACAAAATTCTAAAATAAACTTGGATAAATCTGTTCTGGAATTCATTAACAATGAATAAATAGCATATATGTTCTGAATAAGGGGAGGAAACTACACAAATATACAGTACCAGTCAAAAGTCTGGACATACAAGCTTTTAATTCATTTATCTCTGTCTTAGTCTGTTATTCACCTTATAGTAAAACACCTCATGGCAATAAAGTAATACATATCAAACATCACAACAACCAAGAGAAGTTTTCAATATCTCAACATTTTCTCAGATATTGAACTCTTTAAAATGCCCCCCTTTGCTTCAATGACAGCATTGCAGACTATTTGCGTAATTTAAACTATCTTGCAGATGCAGCCACCTGGAATGCTTCTCCAACAGTCTCGAAGGAGTTTCCCGAAGTTCTGGGCACTAGTTGGCTACCTTGCTCTTACTCTTTGATCCAACTCATCCCAAACCAGCTCTATAGGGATTAGGTCAGGGGATTGTGGGGGCCAGGTCACCTGTCACAGCACTTCACCTCTTTCCTTGTTCACAAGACAATAATTTCTACATAAACTCATGGTGTGTTTTGGGTAGTTATCTTGACAAAGAAGATAATTTTCAGTTGGTATGTTCATACTTTTGACCAGTACCGTACATTTTTTAAAGCACTGCACATGTATTTCTGTGAGAAAATTGTTATTTTTAGATATTTTTTATAGAGTTCAGGCCTTCAGTTTTCCTTATTTTGAATCTGAGCGTTAATTCAAGGGTGTAACTTATTGGGTATGCACTGTGGCCTTACACATCCTGATTTGTGGGTTTGATTCTTGCACGTGTGTGTGCTTTGGGGCCGGGGGGCTGTACTCTTTGTGCTTCCCGTGATAAGCTTTATCCTTCACTGGACAAATAGTTATAGAGTCTGAATGGAGTTTATTCAGACAACAGCTTAAACAAGCCTAATTAAATGCATAGTGGGAATTCTCATACTTTCTAACTTTTGAGTCCTGGAATTGCCCATTTGCCCCTGCTCTATATGTTTACATTTCAAACAGCTAAAAGGGTGATCCAGATCAAAACCCTATGAGCAATATTTACAACATAAACATTATGGATTCCCCAAAAGAAGACAAAGAATTTTGTCTGTATGTCACTTTGGAAGGAAAACATACTGAACGAAGCATAGATGTATTTTTTTCTTATTTCCAAACAATTGACAGCATTATAAGTGGTAATAATAGACATTTGCTCATCTCTTGGACGAATACAATCAATTGTAAGCAGATCCTGGGCAAGCCCAAGGGACACTTGGGGGGGGGGGGGGGGGGGGGGGGCACTGGCCCAGCATACTTGGCATGTTGTAAATGAGACACAGTGGGGGTAGCAGGCAGCATTTACCATTGAAGTGCCCCGCTGGCCGCGTGTTGCTCTGCCGAGTGACTCGCGGCCAGAATTTGCTCAGCGGCAGAAACTTAGCCAGGTTCGCAGGCGCTGAGACAGCCTCACCCGAGATCCCTTCGCCCTGTGGGGAAGGAAAGGGGCTCATTATTGGCGGGCTGAGTCAATCAACACCTGCTATGACGTTGTGAAGATCCAAAAACAACCCCAATGAAATAGGGAAGTACTAGTCCACATCTGTTGTATATAGATCTTTGGTTAGAATGTATTTTTTGAAACTGTGGCTCCAAGATGCTTCTTTAATAGAAATGTCCCCGCACATTATATATTCTACTAACTGACTTAAAATCAAACATTGCTCAGTTGCAACCTGGCAGGGATTTTTTTGCTTCATGAATGATGGAGAAAACCACAAGTGCGGTGATGTGCGAATCATAGCATAAGTGAAGCGAGGGACACCGGCGTACTGCAGGCGTGTTGCTCAGCCAGTCACACTGTTCGGCGGCGGCCAGCACTGCTGCATGCAGCCTGCTGTATATCGCCTCTCCCTCCCGGGTCTGGAAGGTGAAGAGGCCCTCGCCTGTTTCGCACATCCTGAAAGGAGCAGACGCAAGATGTGGACACTCCGCTAGCTAGGGAGGAGCATCATGGGAAAGCAAGAGATGCCGATGGTGCTGTTAAACGCCACTGGTTTGCAAGACCATTTGATATTTCCAATTGTAATGCATACTGTTGTTAATATATTTTAATATATTATATTTTATTCTGTACTGTTGTCAATTTGCACATCCTCGTCCCCATATTGCATTACCTATTTAAAGCTTATTCTTTTTCTTATTCTTATATTGCACTGTTTTGTCTTGTATTTCACTGCTGTTTGTCCTGTGCCCCCCCCCCTCCACCACCCCCATGCAGCATCCCTTCCCCTGTAACTGTGCCACAAGAATTGAATTCCGGACGTGAATTTAGCCAACCTGCCGGCCTCGATGGAAAACCACGTCTGTCCCTGGCCATAACGACGGAGGCCCGTTAGAGGCCAAGACACTATCTTGAGGTGGGGCTCAAACACGTTCCATAGGGAGATGGTCTCTGCGGTGATCTGAAGGACGCACTCCCCGTGGAAATCCAGGTTTCGACTCGGCATTAAAAATACGTGGAATTCCCCTATAAAAAAACAAATTGTCATATGGAAGCATTTGGAATTAGATACAAAGTTTACTGGTTTCACTGTAAGAGAGGCGTGCAATGACAAAACTGCAGAATGTTTGTATAAATACATACATGCTTCCTCTTTTATTTCTATTTTAACTTAAGCAATAGAAATATATGCTGCCGTATATATAGTTTTATACACACACACACACACACACACACATTTCTCACAATAACACCTCCATGCTAACAGGTATCAAAGTTGTCTGTAGCCCCAGTGACCAAATAACCTACCAGTTCCGCCTCTATATATTCCAGTGGCCAACAAGTCGGGCTCCACTAAGTTAAAGTCATTCATCTTACTCTCAAAGCACTCTGTGTACAGAGCTTTGCACCATTCATTGGCTTCCAGCTCTGTAAAGAAGAAAACAGACATGAACTCAATCAAATTAAGTCTAAAGGTGTGTACATTAGCCCAAGTGTTAAGCAGTTGTTAGAAATGAGTGTATTTTCGCATAGTATTTGTACTAAAGTTTCAATGAAAGATCTTGAAGAGTTTGTTGAGGCAGGAAATAAATATGTAAATGTATAATCCGTATAATACTTATACTGCAATGAAAAAATAAAATGGTCTGAAAATATTTTAGTTGTTTTTTGTTGAAGTACTATTTGCTGCCTCATATATGGTGCAGAATGTTTTATGACTAGATTAATTCATGAACACATTTTAAATTTGCCTTTTAGACTAAATGAATTACCTTGCAAAATGTTTTTGCCTTTCAGTGGATGGGTTGTTGAATTCAACAAGTATGAATAAACAGCAATATAAAAAATCACATCGCCAATCAACCAAACATGACAAATGTGAAAGCTCCATTAAATATGACCAGATATAGTTGTTTACTTAATTAGCATTTACATTGTGCCTGAGAAAAGGGAGAAAATGAAGCTCATTTTTTACAAAATATATACGTTCCTGATCAGGTTCATTCGCCAGAATGATGAGATTTATGCTCCTCAGAGGTACATTTTCCCCCCTGGAGTAGAGATTTATTGTGACCCCCCCCCCCCCCCCATCTCTAATGTACAGGAATGTACTCTAGTGTACAGGAAATTTTCAACAATTTTAAAGTGAAAACTTACTAAATGTTTTACAAAAATATTGTAATTTACACTGCACTAAAATTGCCATTTCTCTGCCATTCACTGCGTTTTCACTGGCATGCAGGGCACTGAGCAAACGGGTAACGCTGTGCTCAACTGCAAGAGACGAGCAAGCCAAGGGACGAGCTAAGCAGAGACCTTCCGCGTATACTGTAAGTACAGAGTCACCTAGTACATACTATTCCCGGGGATCAATGGGTACTGTATATCAAAGTGTATGTGTGCTTCATGGATTCTCTGTTTGATTTCAGCTTGTGTCAGGAAGAAGCAAAGCAAGAAGCAGGTGTTACAGGTATAAAATCAGGTAGCCAGGGTGTGACCCATCCCCCACCCAAACGCATCCATCACTCCGCTCTCAGATTTGTGCCCATGAGTATTCATGAGGGGTGGCTAATGAAGGAGCAGCCGCTGTTGATTATCCTCTAAAAATAAAATTGTAAATTGTAGTGCGTTGCTGACCACGATTAATAAGACTTCATTTATATTTCAATATGTTTTAATCACATCGATGTGAATGTAATATTAAGAAATGTGTAACTATTATTTTTTACTGTGCTATTAACTACATTAATATATTAATAATGGGTAGCATAATATTAAGTAAGATCAACTTGGTCTTCAGCAGAATACCTAGGAAACATGTACGTTGCTACCTATGTTACCGTGACCCACCTGACTCACAAGCAAACGTTTTAGATGAGTCGTCTTTGAACGTCACAATAACCGCATGCTTCTTTGTCCCCTTAGGAACCCTTTCAACATGCTTCACATTATTCAGCTCTGTTACCTGAAATTTGTAAAACAAAACAATTAAATATCCACTTTGTGTTTATCAGTATCCACACATATACACATATTTTTAAGAATAGCAAATAATTTAAGAAATGCATGCACATACATTGACATTAAACTGATAAGTCACTATCAATAACATTATTAAATCCATGCAAGCTAATATGTAGTGTAAGAGGATTTCCATCCACTTATGTAATATAATGTAATATAATAAACATTTTGCTCTTAAATGTGGTTCACAATCAAAATGTGATAGTAGCTAATTTGGGGGCTTGAGTCTCACCTCTACTCTGTCTCTGAAGTTTGAATGCTCTCCCTGTGTTCCCTTCTGTATGGGTTTCCTTCCATACTCTCAAGATATGCAGTATCTCTGTATTGCCTGTGGTATATGAATGTGGGTTGCTGGTGTATATGTGCCCAGTGATGTGTGTACCCCTGCCTCATACCCAGTGATGTGTGTACCCCTGCCTCGTGCCCAGTGATGTGTGTACCCTTGCCTCATGCCCAGTGATGTGTGTACCCCTGCCTCATACCCAGTGATGGGTGTACCCCTGCCTCGTGCCCATTGAGGTGTGTACTCCTGCCTCGTGTCCAGTGATGTGTGTACCCCTGCCTCATACCCAGTGATGTGTGTACCCCTGCCTCGTGCCCAGTGATGTGTGTACCCTTGCCTCGTGCCCAGTGATGGATATACCCCTGCCTCGTGCCCAGTGATGTGTGTACCCCTGCCTCGTGTCCAGTGATGGGTGTACCTCTGCCTTGTGTCCAGTGATGGGTGTACCCCTGCCTCGTGCCCAGTGATGGGTGTACCCCTGCTTCATACCCAGTGATGTGAGTACCCCTGCCTCATACCCAGTGATGTGTGTACCCCTGCCTCGTGTCCAGTGATGGGTGTACCCCTGTCTCGTATGCAGTGATATGTGTATCCCTGCCTCGTACCCAGTGATGGGTGTACCCCTGCCTCGTTCGCAGTGATATGTGTATCCCTGCCTCATGCCGTGATGTGTGTACCCCTGCCTTGTACCCAGTGATGTGTGTACCCCTGCCTCGTACCCAGTGATGTGTGTACCCCTGCCTTGTATGCAGTGATATGTGTATCCCTGCCTTGTGCCATGATCTGTGTAACCCTGCCTCATACCCAGTGATGTGTGTACCCCTGCCTCGTACCCAGTGATGTGTGTACCCCTGCCTCGTACCCAGTGATGTGTGTACCCCTGCCTCATGCGCAGTGATGTGTGTACTTCTGCCTCGTGCCCAGTGATGTGTATACCCATGCCTCAAGCCGTGTGCTGCCTGGGATCGACTTTCCCCATGACCTTCACCAGAACAAACAGTTTCAAGTTTTCTTTTCTCTGTAACCAAAATACCAAAACTCCCCCACCCTACATTTTGTCTCTTCTATCTAAATATACCAGTGAAATGCAAAGGTAGAAGCCAATGTGTCAGTCAGCCAACTGATCTTAACTAGAGCTATGATGCTACTTTTGTTTTCGTCTCTCACATGCTTCTCTGAATAGTGCATTGTGGAAATTTCACAGGCTAAAACTTTAGCAACAGCAAATGATTTGTCATGTTAGAATAATAAAAACGGTAGCTTTTTAAAGAATTTTTGATGAAAAAAAAGCTTCCCAATTTTTTATCAACCTAAAACTGCTGTTTTTCTGTACTTTTCTTGAATATTTTTCAAGACTTGACAAGACTTGAGACAAGTGCTGTGGTTTTTAAAAAAAATACCTATTGAAATATAATTCGCTATGAGGAAAAAGTATTAAAAAAATGAACACTGTGGTCTTAATAATATCCAGCATCTGCAGCTAAACATGATTCCTTAATTGGTGCCTTGATTGAGATCGGCCAGTCAGGATGCAGGTGCAGCTTCATCATTGCACAGAAGACCCTTCCTTTTTACCTCGTTTATTGTTAAGGACTCTAACTAGACAATGTGACTTGCCTTGTGATAACAGTGGAAGCGTGCTGCTCGTTCATCCAGGAACTTCTCCAGCCGTCTTGGGCCTTTGCTGGATGCTCTCTTTAACACCAGCCAGCATCTCTGGTAGATCTTCAGAGGTGAGAAGAACAAATGAGTCTCACATATGCATTTCAATACTGGATAATAGAACTGATTTCTCAAAGAGACCTTTATTAGAAAGGTCTTCACTAATAAAATATTACGGCCACCTTAAGTCTACAACTTCTGAAAAACAATCAGCCTGTCAACGATAAAAATCCAGAACTGTTAACACTGAATCTAGTTTATATATTTACATTCCACACTATGCTTTTGCAGTTGCTGACAGTCTTACAAATATAGTGAGACAAGTTGTTGCTTAACATGTGGCTAAAGAGTTCAAGTTTCGCTAAGTTTATTTTAATCCCCTGTTGAATTGCACAACCCAAATTAGGACCTCCATCTGTAAGTCGAAACCAACAACTGGCCCAGATTCCAGCCCCATAACGTACTTTTTCCAAAGAGCTTTTAACTCAAGAAAAGATGATACAGGGAATGGATTCCCGGCATTTAGGTGTGTGATCACAGGTGTGCTTTCTTTTTTAGCTTTGACAGAATCCTGAAAAGTAAATATATCTCCGCACATCAAAATCACGAGTGTTGCTGTTTGTATCCAGTGATTCTATGAGTTCTGCTAATAAGAAACTGTCTGTAATTTAGCCTGTCAAACATGCATTAAAATGTAGATTTAATTGGATGATTCTATTAAGGGTTTCTAAACGTTTTGCTTACTGTGTGATTCTATGAACATTGCACCTTTAGAGGTAAAACAAAGAGTATGTGTGAAACCTTATTTTTAGAGAAATCAGATCTTTCAAAGTACTAAAAACCAAACAAGATTACCACATTGCATAATGCCTTATACTGTACTGGTAAACTTGATGACAAGGCCTGGAACTGATATACACATACATTTTAATCAATTTTCTTGAACCTTTGGTTCAGTCCAATCTATTGCCAGTTGATTTTTGCCTGTAATTAGAAGTTGTCTGGCTTGACAGTACTTATTCTTTCATGCCATAGGTCTATCGGCAGATAAATAGTGATTGTTTCACACATGCGTTTACTGCACTGGCTTAATATTGTTTGTACGGACAGCAAAGATAACAGTGGATAAGGACCTTGACTTCTGGTTGCTGGTGTCTCAAGTCCCAGAAAGGACACTGCAGTTGTACCCATTAATTTAGTGCCTTGAGGAAATTGCATTAAAAAATAGCTCTATAAATAAGTGTAACTGTAAGCTAGATAAAGTCTTTGGTTAAACTTAAGGAAGCTAAACAGGATCCGTCTTGATCACCAGCATTTAACTGCTACTGCACACTGTTAAATTTTCTGTAATTCCATTATGGAAACAATACAATTTGGAAAATATGTTTTTTTTTCATACTAAATTTTTATCATTTGCAATCTAGGATTAAAGGAACCTGTACTTTTCTGGTGTCTAATGACAGCAGCACATCAGCTAAATTTGTCTCAGCCTATAAGACGTGTTACTGGGGAAATGACACCATGACAGAGGACACACCTGGATCACATGAACAGATGTTATTGCCTCTGACGACATAAAGCACCTTTAAGGACTCAGTATCACCATCTGTTTTTTCAGTCTATGTGTGTACCCTGCCAGGTAACCTTAGGGTCCTGGGAAAATTCCAAATCTGGCTCTCACAATCTGGTCGGCCAATCATATTGCACTTGGCTGTGCTAGCTGTTTACTCCAGCGAATCTAACTAGTCGCTAAAGCAGATCACCTGCTTCAAAAACTGAAATGGCAAGTGAACTTGTGAACTTTGTATTAAAGTTTTCTTTGAAGGATTACATTGTATTTGTTGATCATAGGGATTTTTCTGAACTATACAGTTCGGAATATATCAATAATGTCATAGGCGACATTTTAATATGAAATTATGAAATTAAAATACAATAAATAATAAATGTTAGAAAACATTTTGAAGTCGTAACATGTTATTATTTCAATAAATCCTTTCAGTTATTTTAACATACAATAAACTGAACACATGATTGAAATCGTTTCCATTCAGAGCGCTGTCTTTGGCACGATTGTAAGAAGATATAAAATTATAATAAAAACATCTGTTTGCATGTAGAACACTGTAAAATTTTCTACTTGCAAAAATATTAAAACCTTTCTGCACAATTAAGTCTATGAAGTTTAGTTCATTCACTTTTTTTATCTGATATAGGATATCTCAAAGTGGCAAATCCTAGTTTCTTAATAATAATCCTAATAAATCTTATTCCATTCATACTCATAAGAGACCAGTTATATCAGCATATCACCTCAATGTAAAATCACTTCTCAGAATATGTGAACATTAAAATAAGATAAGATAAGATAAGAAAAGAAGTACTTTATTTATCCCAAGGGAAATTCTTTTGTCATAAACATGCTCAGTGCAACAAGCGGAATAAGATAAAACAGCAAAGAGCTTAAAAAGAACAGTAGTAATAGTGCAAAACAGAATAACAAAATAAATCTAACAAAGTAACAAATAATTATAACAGATATAATAAAATAACAAATAATTAGTGCAAGTGGTTATGAAAAGCGACAGTGTTTGTGCCATGAATAAAATGAAAATAAAGCACTGTTTGTTGAAGATCACTATTGTAGTCATGTGTCCAATCATAAACACTTTTGAGTTTAGTTATTACTTAGGAAACATATCTGCAGAAACATCAAATAACAGCAGAAATGGGCAGAAGATAGAATAGGGGCAGCTGGATGGGCAGGCTAAGAGATGTCACACACTCACCCGAAAGTGTCTGCTCTGAATCCTCACATATCCCTGTTTCACAATGTCATTAAAATTTGCCGCCATTGTTTGATGCCGTCTTGTCCCAGGAAGAAGCGTGGCCTCGATTGTGTCTCCACTCTTATCCTAGTGGGCACTAAGCACTCTGTTCCAGATGGCAAACTCACCAGATGCTCGATTACAATGGTCCCGGACATATGTAAAAGCCCATAGCAAGGGGGAAAGACTGAGAGACAGTTAGTGTGGGTGAGAGAGAGCCCAGGCGAGGCATCTGAATGTCTACCAGGACCAATCTGGCAGCTCGCTCTACGGAATGTACCTACTTGCCAAGACTCTAAATGGACGCCAAGGGGGTCTTGTCAACTGCAGGCTATTTCAGCGTCTCTCAGAGATTAAATATAACCTTTCGTGTCTGTGGAACTTCCCAAAGGTCAATATAATGTTGACCAAATCTCCATGAATTTGTTCAGACTGAATTTCATTATTATATGTTGTTGTTCTTGATCACCCTTCACCATTAAAAATGTCCCTCTCTCACATCCTTTCCTTGCTAATACAATAAGTACAGTATGATACATTAGGAAAATTGTTAGTAATTCTGAAAGACAGTTCTATGGAAGATATTTTTTACATAATAAATAGTTCTTGGACGGCAAAGGTATTTTGTGATTTGTATTATTATTTTTTTGGAACAGAAATAAGTAAAATTCCTGAGCCAAAACTCAGGATGAAGCTAGCAAATACGTGAAAATACAACTGTGGCATTATCATCAGCATTACTATATCCTAAGAAGTAAAATATAAAAAGCATGCAAAGGCACACAGTGTGGCACTGAATGTAAAACACACCAACTGAAGCGGTTATACAGACTTGAATATTCTGAACCACACATCACACAGAAACAAGACATTAGAGATAATCACTATCACAAATGAATATGTTCAATACAAAATATCTTTAAAATGATATTTAAGTTTACATTTCATAGTTCCCAAACACAAGTAAGAGTTGGGGTCTCTTCAGACTTTTGTCTGAAGTTCAATTAATACATTTGAATTTTGATCTGGACTGGATTAAAAACAAATAAATAAAGAGTTTGAAAGCAAATTACACTTCTTTCAGCCCCGCCATGGTTCCATGTGTGTGGAGTTTGCAAGATCTCCCCATGTCATCGTGGGATTTCCCCCAGGTGCTCCAGTTTCCCCTCACAGTCCAAAAACATGCTGTGGATAATTGGAGTTACCAAATTGCCCATAGGCGTGCCTGTATGAGTGAATGGTGTGTGAGTGAATGGTGTGTGAGTAAATGGTGTGTGAGTGAATGGTGTGTGAGTGTGCCCTGTGATGGGTTGGAGCCCCATCCTGGGTTAGTCGCTGCATTTTGTCCATAGCATCCAGGATAGGCTCCAGATCCCCCGCAACCATAAATAGGACAAGTAGGCATAGAAAGTGGAAGGATGGATGGATGGGTAGGTGGGTTACTCTGCTAACACTACTGGGTTACTCTGCTAACACTTGTGTTTAATTATATAGATTTGGTCTTAAATCTACTGATCGGGCTGGTTAATTCTATGGGCGACATAGCGCACCATCTTCTGAGGGGTTGCCACACTGTCTGACACAGGATTGGCTCGGTTGTGCCTCTAGAAGTACTTGTATCTTCTGCACTCTTGCTCATGGGTGGCATGGTGGTACAGTACACATGGTTGCCCCCACTCCTTTGAAGACTAGGATTCTAATGCTCTATAGTCCAAAAACAAGCTGAGGTGAACTGGAGCTGTCAAACTGTCCATGTGTGTGAGTGGTGTGTAAGTATCCCATGTGATAGGCTGATTCCCTGCCCTGTGTTATTTCCTGCCCTGTGATAGGCTGGTGCCCCGTCCTGGGTTATTTCCTGCCCTGTGATAGGCAGGTGCCTGGCCTTGGGTTGTTCCCTGCCCAGTAATAGGCTGGTGCCCCGCCCTGGGTTATTTCCTGCCCCGTGATAGGCAGGTTCCCACGCCCTGGGTTGTTCCCTGCCCTGTGATAGGTTGGTGCCCCGCACTAGGTTGTTATCTGCCCTTTGATAGGCCAGTGCCCCACCCTGGGTTATTCCCTGCCTGGCATCCATAGCTTGTGGGATAGGCTCCACAACCCTACATCAGACAAGTATGGTACTGATACCAAGGTGCTTTGTTCCTACTATTCTCCTATTGAGGTATTAAAAGAAATAATAACATGTTACGACTTCAAAATGTTTTCTAACATTTATTATTTATTGTATTTTAATTTCATAATTTCATATTAAAATGTCGCCTACTATAGGCCTGTTATTTATTGTGGCAGTGCAGCAACAGTGATGCTCTCCGGGGCGTCACATGGGCTGGGTCTGGCCCTGGCTATTGGTGAATACATAAGTCATGGTGACAGCTGGAGGCAGCGTACAAGTGGATGGAGATTATGAGTCATAAAAAAGTTATAATAAAATTATTTAAAAATTATAATAAAGAAGAGTCCAATCTGTCAATTAAGGGGAAAAATTAAGCGTACATGTATGTCTCAGCTCTGTTTGTTTAGCTATATAATAATCATTACTCAGGGTCGTAAACGGATAACGCAACATTAGTTATATGACTGACGCTGAAGGTCATCAACTCCACTTTTATCACTGAAAATATCGTGCAACATTGCTCTTGGTGTGTTGATATCACAAAATCACATTTAGAAGGCATACTCATCGATAGTTAATAATAATTACAACAATCTGGCGCACGCTTCTGCCAATACCAACCCTTGCAGCAACAATTTACACACATGCCAAAGCCACGTGCCGTCGTATGGCTATGGGATATAAATAATGGCAGGCATCCTACAAAACAGCTGGACCCTGAAAATATCATGCCGACAGACGGCTATCCATCTTAAAACCCTCAGACACCGTATTAACCCCATTGCATAGTAACAATGCCATGGCAAATATATATATGCCAGAGCATCAAATCCGATGGAAAAAAAACTCTGCTTAATACATAAGCATGTGCATAAACATGATCAAATTAAGACTTATAGATCTGGTTAATATCCTCTGCTTGCTTGTTACTGCATGTGAGAGCATCACTAGACATTCATGGAAAAAATCATTTTAAAAATCCTGCAATATATTATGCTTTCCGCAGTAAAAAGAGAAGCAAATCTATTTTTAACACAATGGGCTGGGACTGCAATATATGACAATATCATAGATTCCCAGATATCACATTTCACTTTACCAATAATGTCAGTTTTTGCTCTGAAGAATTTCACTGTTTTGTAAACAGGAATGGTGACCAATTTAGTAATATTAATATGCCAATTACCTAATAAAATATATGTGCATCTGAAGCGTTGCAGCACAATATGAAGAAAGCCTGAGAGTTGTACTTAAACAAAGCTAGATTAATCCCAGCATGACTGAATGACCTTTACTGCAGTCTGCTAGATTTATTTATATATTACAGTCAAGTGACTAGCGCCACCTAGTTGTTAAATGGCATTTTGACTCTTAGGCTGCTATAACAACATAGGGACCTGCTCTCTCATTTGTCAGTAGGATATACTGTGTTTTACAAATAAACAGGGACAATAACATCACTCAAAAGTAATGGCCTTTACATTCTATATTGAGTTTGTGAGCTGTCCAGCAGTTAAAGTAAGGAAGGGTTCACCCTGGACGGAGCGACAGTCTATCGCATTTTTACAACCTATATTTACAAGTGACAAAATACTGGTCTCAGCTCAATTCATATTTATTCTGAGGCGTGCAAAGTTTGTGAGAAGTGAATGGTATAAAGTTGCAGGCTACTGGTCAACCTGCCAAATATCACACGTTTGGTATTTACTGTCTCCTAAATCAAAGAAGAAATGCATTTCAATATAATCCAATATTAGCTGTTTGAATTTATATACATCACAAATCATGTAGCTGGGTGGGTAGCACTGCAGGATTAAGTGGAGCTGTCATGTTTTTGTGGGTTTTCTACAGCAGTCAAAAAGCGCAGGATTGTGTAAGTTTCCTGGAGTGTGTCAAGGCGTCCCCCTGTTCTTGTGTCCCCTTGTGTGTGTGAGAGTGTGCGCCCTGTCATGGAGTACCCCCCCCCCC